GCCTCCCTGCACTAACTGGCTTACTCTCTAGCTGGCTAGTTTTCCGGAGCCCCTGGCTGGAGTTGGACTCCAGGCAAGCTGAATAGTTATGTCGTTCTCCCATCAGTCTTCCTCTGTGTGAACCAGGGGGTCTGTTTCTTGCTTCCGTTTTGTTTTTTGTTTTTTCTTGGAGCAGGATCTTACTGTGTAGCCCTGGCTGTCCTGGAACTCGCTCTGTAGACCAGGCTGGCCTCACCTTTACTCAAACCTGCCTGCCTCTGCCTCCTGAGTGTTGAGATTAAAGGTGTGCACCACCATGCCCAGCCGCCAGCCAGGTGGCCTATTGACAGATGTGTCCCTCCTTCCTGAAAAAGAAAGATATCTGGCAGAGGTCCTCTGCACAGGTCACACACAAGAACATGTTGGCATGTGGGCGTGCCCTCCTACTCTGTTGCTAAGCTCCCTGGGAGTAGAACTCACTCTGCTGGGAAGGTGTGGCTTACTCTCTCTCTCCTCCAGAGCGAACCAGACTCCTTTCCTTGGAACAGTGGCTCTGGCTGATGCAAGCCTTGTTTAGGCTGGGCTGATCCACCTGGAGGCTGAGCACTTGGGAATGAGCCCAGATAACCTTGACTCCACCCTGGCAGTTGCCTCCGCAGCCCACAGCGGATGCCCTCATCCCTGGCACCTTGACTGCCCCATTTCCAACCTCAGCTACCCAGGTTACCTCAGCAAACAACCCCCAGAGGCCCTGTGGAGTGAGTCAGAGCCCTGGGTCCCTTAGTAACTTTTGGTTCCCACACCCAGGAATTCAGGTCCCAAAATGCAGGTCTAGGTGCATCAAGTAAACTGCTGGCTGGGACCTGATGTTTGTCCTAACCACCAGAGGCCAACTAGAAGCCAGGCTTCTGGAGGACTGTCAGGGTCAAAGGTTAGACAAGTGTTTCCTAGGGACCATCCTGAGCTTGGCCTGCTGAGTGGGACACCCCAGTCAAGTGTACACTCCCCTGGGTTGACACCCCACTCCCTGAGTCTGCCCTGCTTTACCTTTCCTGAGGCTTTTCCGGTTTATGCTAGGTCCACAGATACTTCCCCGCAACTCCATACTCCTGGGGGAGGGGGTGCTGGGGCAGTCCTGGCTGAGATCCCAGGGTGAGTTTGACAGGCAGAGCCTGGATAGGCCCCAAAGAAATGTGTTACATGTCAGAGCCTGTGCCAGGATGAGGGGCCTCACCACTCTCCCAGTCACCTCCCAGCCTGGGGTTCTCAACAGCCCCTCCCAGACAGGCACAAAAGTGCATCCTCGAAGCCCCCACCTACACACCAGGACCTGACTGAGCTTGAGGCTCCGCCTCTGACGTTGCCCTTTTAAGAGCCCTCCCAATGGGGGCGGGGTACTGCAGGCAGAGTCTTGCAGAAACCCAGCTCGGTGCAGCTCCCCCACCAAGGTGCCTGGAAAGACCTGCACCTCGGTTCTCCAGGCTCTGGGCAGAGGCAGAGGTTCCCGTGGTCTCTGAGGAGACCCCTTGTTCCGGAGGGACGGATCCTCTCCAGCTGCTCTATAAAAACCCTGCGATTTGGAGTCTCATATCCCTTAGTAAGATTGACCCCCCACCCGCTCCCCTACAGTAGCCTGCTGTCAGAAATAGTCTGGGAAATTACATTTGCTGAGGTGTAAATTGCTGATAAGAAGGTATGACCCTTAAGGGACAATTGGATTTTAAATCCTGAAACTGAAGAATTAAGCTCCTAATTGAAAATAGCATCCACCGCTTCCATCTTGTGTCAGAGAAAACAATTTCTTTTCTTCTTTCAAACAGCCCTAGCTCCTTGCACCCAGGGTTTCATGCTCTGTCTCCTGGGTCTTATTCCTTCTCATCCTCTCCCCCTCACCCCCTCCGGCCCCGCCCCACAGTATCAGCCAGGTCACACTGCTCCCCGTCTTCTGACAGCTTCCTGTCTGGCTCTTTTTCTGGAAGATTCACCATCAAGGGGCTCTTGCAATTCTGTTGCCTCATCGGTGTCCCCAGCCCTCTGGTGTCTACCCACACAGAGGGAATGTGGAATGTCCCAGATGGAAGAAGAAAGCTTAACCTGAAAAGGGAAGGTCTGAGTGGGGGCTGAGGAGGTGGCTTGGGAAAGAACGTGGGACCTGACCCCATAAGCATCTGGGCCCATGTGTTTCCATATGCCTGATCTTCAGGAAGGTTTGGGACTGATTCCTTGTCCCCACAATATGTCCACATGTATCCCTGCCCCAGCCACCCTGGAGTACCCGGGTGGGGCAGTTTCCTGCCCTGCATCTCAGACCAATCTGCACTGAGTTTTCATCATGATGTCTGCTCATCTGCTGGTCCCCAGACCACAGCCTCCTTCGGGTACCAGAATAGCTTGAGATGGGTGAGCCAAGATCCACCCTTAGTAAGGGCTGGTGACCCAGTTCAGCTGGTGAAGGTACTTAAAGCCTGCGGAACAGATTTGAATCTGCAGGACTCTCATGTGCAGGGAGAGGACCAAGTCCTGCAGGTTCTCATCTGACCATGGAAACACACATGGCTACACAGTAAATAAATGTGTGGGGCGGGGAGGGTTCCTTTTCCATTCACACACACACACACAAATATTAGTGAACATGGCTTGGGAACAGCAGCTGTCGCAGCCCAACTAGACTGGTTGGTCAGAACCAGTCTCTCCGGAACCTCGTTCATCTTGGTGTCTGCCTGTGCGCTGCCTCCTCCATCCCCTTTGACGGTCTTAACAACTAAGTTATTAGCAGCTTTGTGGTTTTCTGCGTAAGCCTCAGCCCCAGGCTCCATGTTACCCCACGGTACTCGGGGACCACATGCAGCCTCCGCTTTTTAAAAATTTACTTTTATTTTATATGCATTGGTGTTTTGTCTGTGTGAAGGTGTCAGAACTCCTGGAGCTGGAGTTAACACACCGGGAAACTGCCATGTGGGTGCTGGGATTTGAACCTGGATCCTCTGGAAGAGCAGCCAGTGCTCTTAACCACTGAGTCATCTCTCCAGGCCCAGAGTGCTAGCTTTTGAAACTATCCCTAGCAAATATCCCTGGCACTGGGGATGGAGCCTGCCATGGTGAAAGCATCCGTGTCATCTTTAATTGAGCTCAATTGGAAGTCCAGCAGTTGGGGCATCAGGCCCACTCTGTCTAGGTACAGCTGGCAATGAGGATGCAGTTTTGAGGCTAAAGTGACACCTATCTGCCTCACAGATGGAAGTTCCAAGCATGAAGAGACACCTGACAGACATCTGTGCCATGCACCTATCAATTCATATACTTCTTCATTTGACTAATCCTTACTGAGTGTCTACTACCCGGTGTCAGGTCCCATGCTAGATGCTAGGTATTTGGGGCACACCCTCCCTATGGATAACAGCTATGAACCAAGTCCTCTGGTTAACAGCTATGAGCCAAGTAAATTGACAGGTGCATACCGTATTTAATTGCAAATTGCTATACATGAAGAAGGAGGCATTTAAGATTTCTCTGTTCAGCAACTGGGAGGAGACCAAGGTGGCCAGAACAGAGTGAGGAGTAGGGAGAGGTTAGGCCACTTCACATGGAACTTTAGGAGCTAAAGATTTGGGGTTCCATCCAGTGTGCAGCAGGGCAGGGTTCTCAGAAGGAAAGCAGCCCACTCAGACTTATGAGTGCAGTGTTACTGTCTGAAGAATGCCATGAAGGGTCCTTAAGCCAGATGGATCCTTTGAGGGCATAGTGGCTCACTCCTTTAATCCCAGCATCCTGGAATGTAGAGGCAGGTGGATCTCTGTGAGTTCAAGTCCAGCCTGCTCTACATAGTGTGTTCCAGAACAGCCAGGGCTATAGAGAGACCCTGTCTCACAAAATTGGGAAAACAAAATCAAAAACAAGCAGATAAATCCAAAGTGTGGCACTTTAATGAGGAATCGGGGCCGGGCCCTTCAGACTATGTCATTTAAAAGTATGGAGGGGGGGTATGAAAGGGAAAGCAGCTGGTGAGCTGGGAAGATGACTCAGCTGGTAGAGGCGCTTGCCAAGCAAAATAATGGCAACCCGAATTGAGCTCCAGATCCCATGGTAAATGGAGAGGACTGATTCCTGAAAGTTGACCTTTGACCTCTGCAGACACATCATAACAAGCATACACCCACTCTCACATAATGCATTATACATGCAAAGCACACCCTTAATAATAAGTTAAAAAGCAGCATATAACTAGATGGTATGCACAAAAATCTGGTTTGAAAGCAGAAACTTCAAAAGATAGGAGTTTGGCTGGGACTGGGTATGAGATCATTCTAGGAATTCTCATTCATGCTCCTGGTTGTGGCCTTGGCAGAACCCCTGTAGATGAGCAGAGGGAGGGAGAGGGCCCCCGCATGTCTGGTAGGGCGTGCTGGGGGGCCTAGAGTAAAGGTACTCAAGCGTTGTGAGAAATAAAGCAGTGTCAGCAGTCCCTGTACCTGGGGGGAAAGTGCTTATTATAGCATCCTTTTTAACTTTTGCTTTTCTCTTTTGAAACACCATCTTCTGCCTTATGTATCCCAGGCTAGCCTTACACTCCCAAGGATGGTTTTGGGTTTCTGATCTTTGAAGGATGGGTGACCTTGAACTTTCTGATCCTCCTGCCTCTACCCGCTAAGTGCCGGGACTTTAGGCTTGCATCACTGAGCCCAGTTAATCAGTGCCATGGACTCAACCAGGGCTTCAGGTAGGCTAGACAGGCGTTCTACCAACTGAGCTACATCCCCAGCCTTTTTGATGTGTGTTTTGTTTGTTTGTTTTTGAGACAGGGTTGCGTTGTGTAGCTCTGGCTGTCCCGGACTTGCTATGTAGACAATGCTGACCTTGAACAAGTCCTGGGTTCAAAGGTTTGCGCCACCTCACCCTTGTCCCCATCCTCTGGCTCTTTCATTCTTTCTACCCTCTCTTCTGCAATGTTCCCTGAGCCTTGGGTGGGGGCAGGGTCATGTGGACATCCCATTTGAGGCTGAGCACAACAACAATGATTTATTCTTAGCAGTTTGGTCAGTTACGAGCCTCTGGATGAACTAACTCTGTAGAAACTTCATCAGCCAGCGTTGAGAGCAGCACTAACCTAGGGGTGGAAACATAAACATTTAGAAGGCAGCTTGACTATGGGACCATTTAGCAAAACAAGTAGTAGGTTCCCCCTAGAGCCTGTGTCCTTCACAGCCATGGGCTTTTTTTTTTTTTTTTTTAATCAACAGAAGCCCCTCAGATTCCCTGATGTGAAATGTTCTCCTCAGACTCCCGGATGTCAAAGGTTCCATGGGCTTTTGACCAGGTTTACGGTACCAGGTATGAATTTGCTAGTGTGGAAGGGGGTCTCACCCCCACCACTTTCAGGTCCCAGGTCATTCTCAACCAGAAGTTAGTTGGGTGCCCCATAACCTTCATGCCACACTTGTACCAGCGGGTACATCTTGCCTGGCAGGTCAGCGTCGTAGCGTTCAGGATTTATTACTGAGTAAGACCACTGATGGCCTGTAGCCAGGAAAGAAGTTTTCAGGCGAGTTCCAGCCAGAATCCCCTTCGTCCTAACCAAAGTGTGTTGTGTCTTCAGCAGCAGGGTCTTTATTATTTTGAGACAGAGCTCACTATGTAGCCTAGGCTGGCTCACTATATAGACCCGGTTGGCCTCATAGAGATCTGTCTGTCTCTGCCTCCCTAGTGCGGGGATTAAAGGCATGCACCAGCAACGATAGGGTCTTACCATCTACTTCTGGTGGGCAACCAAGAGCAATGGCAGTAACCTGGGGTGTTTGGGGGAAGCTGTGGCCTTCCTGACCAATAACCTATAGAGAGAGGTCTACTGCACCTGGCACTGAAATGGTCATTTAGTAACATGTCTTCTAGGACATGTTTTTACCCATGCAGGGTAGTGTATTCAAGTTCTGCATTAATATATACGTATACACTCCTTCCTTTCTTCCTTTCTAGATATATTTATTTATGTACACGAATGCTCTGTTTGCCTGCATACAAGAGGAGGACCTCAGATCCCATTACAGATGGTTGTGAGTCGCCTTGTGGTTGCTGGGAATTGAACTCAAGATCTCTCTCTGTAAGAGTAGCTAGTGCTCTTAACTGCTGAGCCATGTCTCCAATTTCTAGTTAAAATGGGTCTAATTTAATTTTCTAATTTGATGTAGGTAACTGAGTAGGTTTCCATAGAGTTTTGGTTAACCCATGCCCCACCCTCTGCTTTCATTTGTCCCTCCTTCCTCCTCACTTAAACCTTTAACCCCAGATTTAATTACCCCCACCACTTTCATAACCCAGGTCATTCTCAAGAACTTACATTTAATCATTTTAGATTGTGTGTGTGTAGGATCAGATTACTCTTTTTTTTTGACAGTTTTTTTATTACTTTATTTTTTCATTCCAATCCCAGTTCCCCCTCCCTCCTCTCCTTCCACCTCCACCCCCTCCTCCCATCAGGACCAGATCATTAAGAACTTACATTTAAATTCTTTATTACTAGTGGGACGGGGCAGACCTTGCCAAGCACATGTGAGGAGGCCCAAGAACAATTTGTGGAATTGGCTCTCTCCTACCTTTATGTATGTCTCAGGCATCAAACTTGGGTCTGTAGGGTTTCTCTGCAAGTAGAGTCATCACATGAGCCAGCTCATTTTTTGAGTGTATATTAGTTGCTTTACCATCCCCGTAGAAGGAATGGTTTATTTAGGCTTACCATTCCAGAGGGATAGAGTCTTTCACCATCCCTGTGGCAGGAGCAGCAAGCTGAGAGCTCACATCTTTTTTATTTTTATTTTTTAAACTGGGTCTCTATATGGTCCTGTTTGTCCTAGATCTTGAGATGTCATTCAGGCTGGCCTCGAACTCAAAGAGATTCTCCTGCCTCTGCCTTCTGAGTGCTGGGATTAAAGATGTGCACCATATCCAGGCCAGAGAGTTTACATCTGAAACCTTAAGCAGGAAGTTTAAGAGAAAGAAAGAGAACTCAAAATGGCTCTAAAATCTCAAAGGCCACCTCCAGTAACAAACTTCCAACAAAGCTGAACCTTCTAAACCTTCCAAGCAGTGCCATCAATGGGGACCAAGTGCTCAAATTCGGGAGAGGACACTCCACCACAGTGTTTGTGCGTGCGTGTGTGTGTGTGTGTGTGTGTGTGTGTGTGTGTGTGTGTGTTTGTGTGTGTTTGTGCGTGTGAGTGTATGTTCATGCTCTCCTGCACTCAGGAATGCATGCACACAGAAGTTAGAAAGCAACCTCAGCTGTGTGTGCGCGTGCGTGTGTGCGTGCGTGTGTGTGTGTGTGTGTGTGTGTGTGTGTGTGTGTGTGTGTTCATGCTCTCCTGCACTCACGAATGCATGCACACAGAAGTTAGCAACCTCAGCTGTCCGTTCCAGCACAGGTTCAAGCTTTTCAAGTTGCTGATTAGATCTGCCAGTTTCCACCTTCCCAGTGCTGGGATTACAAAAGGAAACAGACAGACACTTGCTTTTTATGTGGGTCCTGGGGATGGAACTCAGGTCTTCATGCTTGTGAGGCAAGCATTTTACCTACTTAACTCCCTGTCCTGGTTCCTTTAGAAGCATCCTGCCTAAGCTACACTAGAGACAGGGTCATACCTATTTCCAGTGTGCACTTGCCATAGGTCTGAGACTAGTCTCCAAAATAGTAATAAGTCCCCAGCACACCCCACACACCCTTTTGGGTTAGGGTTTAGCTATATTGTATGGGCTGACCTGGGACTCTGATTCCCCTGCCTCAGAATCCTACCTGAGCCTCCAAAGTAGCTGAGATTACAAGCACACAGTGTATTCTCTTCAGTCTATAAGATTTCGTTGGACCTGGGTAGGAACAGGTCGGAGGGAGACCCAAAGTTCCTTATAGCTGAAAAGTTCCTTCTAGGGGATGGACACCAGTGTCACCCCTTTTTTACTCTCTCAGTGATGCATATAAGACTTGGAATTTTCCCTCCTGTTCCAGGGAGGTGGAAAAAGGTAAGGGGAAAGAGAGAGGAGGCAGCTGTCTGTCCCCCTGAGGGGTGGAAGCTAGGAAGAGATTAAGTACTATTTGCCAACTGTGTCTGGAGATGAAAGGAGGGTTCCTTACACACCCCCAGCCTGTCTACCTTGAGCAGAAAGGCAACTTGGAGTAAGATCTGGAGTCCTGAGCCTTCCCTGGCAGCCCTCGCCTTCTGGCTGGGGTTCTGAACCATGGCCACATTCCAGAGTCCAAGTTGCTTTATCCTCTACCCAGAAGGCTCACAGGGAGCCAGATGAACGAAGAGCTACAGTTTCTGCGTGCGTTGGCTTGGGCCTTCATCAAAAACGAGTCTCATTACCCAACCCCAATTCAAAGGATAATTAACACACAGTATAATTTCCAAGCATTCTCTGCACCACATGGCTATTAAATGAAGAGCAAAATGCCCACACAATCCCTGGATCCTCCCAAACCGTAGAGAAAAAGAAGTCAGGAGAGGCAGAGCCCGGCCGAGACCACTTATGCCACCCTCTATCTGAAGCGACTTTTTCCAGAGGAAGGATGTTCATCTTGGGTCAGACTTAGGTCACTCCCGCAACCGGGGTCCTCCTCCAACCCTGCCCTCCCACCACCACCAGGAAAGTAGTAACATGACCCTTCTACCCGGCTTCTCTATATTCCCCTGCCGAGAGAGAAGACCTGGCTTGTCACTTTGGCATAACTCTGAGGCCACATGGGGTTCTCTGGTGACTGGTGACTGAAAGTGACCCTCCTGTGACCGGAGGGCAACGATGCAAGACAGGCAGTGCCTGATCCAACGCTCTTTAAAATTGATTCCTAAGGATCCCCAAGCTCCTCGGAGCAGCCTAGCCATTCTTGGTCGGAGGACACTGACTCCATACTTTATCCCAGGCACGCTGTTCATCGGTTCTCTATCGGAAGACTTGGGTCAGAGAGCTAGCTCCGCAGGTGAAGGCATTTCCCCTGCAAGCCAGGCAACCTGGGTTCAACCTCTGAAGCCCTCTAACGAAGAAAGAAACAATTCTCAAAAGTTGCATCTGGTTATGGCACATGCCTTTAATCCTGGGGCGTGGCAGAGGGATGCTGATCTCTGTGGGTTCAAGGCCAGCCAAGGTCACATAGTGAGACTCTGCCTAAAAAGACAAACAACATAAAAATAAATTTAAAAACCCACACATGTAATAAACAAATTAGTAAGAAATTTAAAAATATTGAACATATATGTAATAAAACAAGAAATTTTAATTAATTAATTAATTTTCAGATAGGGTCTCACTATGCAGCTTTGGCTGGCCTCAAACTCACAGAAACCCACCTGCTTTTACCTCCCAAGTGAGTGTTGGGATTAAAGGTGTGTGCCACCTTGCCTGGCTTAAAATTTTTATTTTTATTTTTTTATGTGTAGGGGTATTTTGCTTTCATGTATGTCTGCACCAGGCCTATGTAGACCAGAAGAGGGCATTGGATTCCCTGGGACTAAAGTTTCAGCCGGTAATGAGCTACCATGTGTGTGCTGGGGATTGCACTAGAGTCTTCTGGAAGAATAGCCAGCTTTCTAGGTCTTAACTTTTTTTTTTAAAGAAAGATCTTCCACTATAACCCATCCTGTCCACTCAGCCCAGTCCTAGAGATTGACTCGAGAGCTTTGTATAGCTAAGCAAATACTGAGTTCTAGCCCCAGCCTGCAAATACACTTTTGTTCTTGTTTTTGAGACAGGATCTCATGCAGCCTCAATAAGTAGCCAAGGATGACCTCAAAATCCTGATCACCCACCTCTGCTTCCCAAGTGTTGGGATTATAGGTTTGAACCTCCAACTTAAACCTTTTAGTGGAATATAGCAGTTGAGATTTGGTATTTTGAGTCTAATGAACATTCTTGCTATCAGTTAGGACAGATTGGCTGGCCAGCAAACCCTTAGGATCTCCATCTCCTTCCCTGTCACTGAGATGACAGAGGTACAGTGCAGTGTCCAGCCTTTTAATTAATTCATTTTTATTTTGGAGGCTATAATATAGTTACATCGTTTCTCCCTTCTCCTTCTTCCCTTCAAGCCTTCCCATATACCCTTCCTTGCCCTCTTTGAAATTCATGGCCTCTTTTTTCATTACTTTTTATTGTACACATATTTGTATTTATATGTACATATATATCCCTAAACACAACCTGCTCCATCCGCATAATGTTGCTGGTATGTGTTTTTCAGGGCAGACCAGTTGGTATTGGATAAACAGTTGGTCTCTTCTCTGGGAAAGACTACTTCTTCCACTCAGCATCCCTTAGTTGCCTGTAGTTCTTTGTGTCGGGCGGAGGCCTCCTGGTCTTTCTTCTATCTCCTTTGGCATGTCTACTATTATTGTCATTATTCTGCTCATGTTCAGGCAGTCATGTTGGTGAGGCTGTGCCCACCTTGTTATGTGGGTGTTGGGAATCCAAACTCAGGTCCTCACTCTTGCATGGCAACCTCTTTCCTGACTGAACCATCTCCTTAAACTCATATGGCCACCCTACCCTAATCTTTTGAAAATCAATTACTTTATTCAGCTCTCACATTCTGAGAAAGGGGAATTGACCAAGGTCAGATACCTAGCCTGCGAAGGTTGGGGGACAAGGCTGATACAGCCTGAGCCTCCTTTCTCATACAGTTTGACACCCTCTTTGCTGAGGGTGTGAGAGGAGGCCCTCTGGCTTGCTTGGCCTCACTTCCTGGCTCTTTGTGACCAGATTATTGGTGAACCCCTCTCATGGATTTTTCATACCCCTTCCAGAAGAAGGACCTGTGGTCCTCTTCCATGAAAGGCTCAGTCGTCTTCTGCAATGGACAGGGCCGTTTGCTACTCACAGAGGTGTGGGTAGGAGATCAGCAGTTGGACATTGATCCAGAGGCAGGAGAGGTTAAGAAAAAGGCCTATTCTCCAGCCACAAGGCACTTGTCTTAAGACCCAGAAGTCCAGGTCCTCTGGAACCACCTCATCCTGGGCCTAGGAATCTGGTCGTGTTAGTATATTTGTTCTTCTGGACCTTCTAGTTCACCCCTCCTGAATTGCCTCAGTGGTACCCAAGATGTATCAAAGATGAGCTTGGGGATCTTTCTGTCGGAGGCATCCAAGCGAGATCACAACTTGTGGGATGTGGGTAAGACTTTGAAATGTGGAACGAAGACTTTTTAGTTCTGTCTGACCTGGGACCTCTATGATGAGGACCAATGAGGGCTCTCAGGGATGGTAAGACTGGAAAGATGCCTCGTGTGTCTGTGTCCATGTCCACCCCCACCCCCGCAGGAAGGCCTTCGGAATATTTTGAAACAGCACTAGCTACATGGTTATCATACCCTGTGTGGCTTCTGACTGTTCATTCCTCTTTAAGCTATGGTAGGGAGCCAGCACTGGCCTCGAGCATGTCTGATGGATTGGCAAGAAGAATGCTACCAGCAGCGGGAATCTTACTTTGAGTATCTGTGCAGAAGAGGGCGCTGGGTGGGACCCACCTCCTTCGGCGCGTTGGGCGTCGCCGCTTTAAGACGGCGGCGGCGCGAGCAGGTCTATGGTAATGAGCCGCCGCCGCCACCGCCGCTCTGCAGAGCTTGCCCGCCCGCCGGGGAGGCGAGGGAACGCGGGTCTGGGCCCGGGACCGCGGCGACCGGCAGCAGCCGCGGCGAGGACGCTGAGCGCGAGAGGGTGGCGCAGGGCGAACGTTGGCAGCCAGGCCCGGGCCGGAGCGTGCGACTCCGCAGGCGCAGGTGGGCGATCTCACGCGGGCAGAGGGGACACTGTAGGTCTCGGGAACCGGGGACCCGGCAGAGCCAGGGGTCCTCGCGGCCGGCGGGCGCAGGTGGAGAGCGTCCGGAGAGCAGGTGGCGGCGCAGTGTGAACCCGCAGTGGTCGCGGTGACTCGGGAGCGGGCCGGGCTTCGAGAGCGGTGTAGCCCGGCGCATCGTGGGACTAAGCGCGCGGCCCCGCCGAGCCATCTAGGTGCAGGCCCTGCGGGACGCACAGGTGGCCCCCGGGGACCGGCGCCCCGGCCCGGGCATGAGGCGCGGAGGGGCCGGCAGGAGCCGGAGGAAGAGCCTCCGCGGCTGTTGACCCGGCTGGCCGGGAGCAGGGAGAGATGCGGAGCCGGGCTGCCAGCGCCCCCCTCCCAACGCCGCTGCTGCCTCTGCTACTGCTGCTGCTGCTGCTGCTGCCGCCGTCGCCACTGCTGGGAGATCAAGTGGGGCCCTGTCGTTCTCTGGGGTCCGGGGGACGCGGCTCCTCTGGGGCCTGCGCCCCCGTAGGCTGGCTCTGCCCAGCCTCCGCTTCGAACCTCTGGCTCTACACCAGCCGCTGCAGAGATTCGGGTATTGAGCTGACTGGCCACCTGGTGCCCCACCACGATGGCCTGAGGGTCTGGTGTCCAGAATCAGGGGCCCATATCCCTCTTCCGCCGTCCCCTGAAAGCTGCCCCTGGAGCTGTCGTCTCCTGGGTATTGGAGGACACCTTTCTCCACAAGGCAAGCTGACCCTGCCTCAAGAGCACCCTTGCTTAAAGGCCCCACGGCTGAGATGCCAGTCTTGCATGCTGGCACAGACCCCAGGGCTCAGGGCTGCGGCGGAAGGATCACCAGAGGAATCTATGGGTGGGCGCAGGAAAAGGAATGTGAACACAGCCCCCCAGTTCCAGCCTCCCAGCTACCAGGCCACAGTGCCTGAGAACCAGCCAGCTGGTACCTCTGTCGCATCCTTAAGAGCCATTGATCCAGATGAGGGTGAGGCAGGTCGACTTGAGTACACCATGGATGCCCTCTTCGATAGCCGCTCCAATCATTTCTTCTCCTTGGACCCAATCACCGGTACTGTCACCACAGCTGAGGAGCTGGATCGTGAGACCAAGAGCACCCACGTCTTCAGGGTCACTGCCCAGGATCACGGAATGCCCCGACGGAGTGCCTTGGCCACACTTACCATCCTAGTGACTGACACCAATGATCATGACCCTGTTTTTGAGCAGCAAGAATACAAGGAGAGCCTCAGGGAGAACCTGGAAGTAGGCTATGAGGTGCTTACAGTCAGGGCCACCGATGGTGATGCCCCTCCCAATGCCAACATTCTGTACCGCCTGCTCGAGGGTGCTGGAGGCAGCCCCTCCGAAGTCTTTGAGATTGATCCTCGCTCTGGGGTGATCCGAACCCGTGGCCCTGTGGATCGGGAAGAGGTGGAATCCTACAAATTGACAGTGGAGGCAAGTGACCAGGGACGGGACCCTGGCCCACGGAGTTCCACGGCTGCTGTCTTCCTGTCGGTGGAAGATGATAATGACAACGCACCCCAGTTCAGTGAGAAGCGCTATGTGGTTCAGGTGCGGGAGGATGTGACCCCAGGAGCCCCAGTTCTCCGAGTCACAGCCTCGGACAGAGACAAGGGCAGCAATGCCCTGGTGCACTACAGCATCATGAGTGGCAATGCTCGGGGACAGTTCTATCTGGATGCTCAGACCGGGGCCCTGGATGTGGTAAGCCCACTTGACTATGAGACAACCAAAGAATATACACTCCGGATACGGGCTCAGGATGGTGGCCGGCCTCCACTTTCCAACGTCTCCGGCCTAGTAACAGTGCAAGTCCTGGACATCAATGATAATGCCCCCATCTTTGTCAGCACCCCTTTCCAGGCCACTGTCCTAGAGAGTGTCCCTTTAGGCTACCTAGTTCTGCATGTCCAGGCGATTGATGCTGATGCTGGTGACAACGCCCGCCTGGAATATAGCCTGGCTGGTGTTGGGCACGACTTCCCCTTCACCATTAACAACGGCACAGGCTGGATCTCTGTGGCGGCCGAGTTGGACCGGGAAGAGGTTGATTTCTACAGCTTTGGTGTAGAGGCCCGAGACCATGGCGCCCCAGCACTGACTGCGTCAGCAAGCGTCAGTGTAACCATCCTGGATGTCAATGACAACAACCCAACCTTTACCCAGCCGGAGTACACGGTACGGCTCAACGAGGATGCGGCCGTGGGCACCAGCGTGGTGACAGTGTCAGCCGTGGATCGAGATGCTCACAGTGTCATCACCTACCAGATCACCAGTGGCAATACCCGCAACCGTTTCTCTATCACCAGCCAAAGTGGAGGGGGGCTGGTTTCCCTCGCCTTACCCCTGGACTACAAACTTGAGCGGCAGTATGTGCTGGCAGTGACGGCCTCGGACGGCACAAGGCAGGATACAGCTCAGGTCGTGGTGAATGTCACTGATGCCAACACCCACCGCCCCGTCTTCCAGAGCTCCCACTATACGGTAAATGTGAATGAAGACCGGCCAGCAGGCACCACGGTGGTATTGATCAGTGCTACGGATGAGGACACAGGTGAGAATGCCCGAATCACCTACTTTATGGAGGACAGCATCCCCCAGTTCCGAATCGATGCGGACACCGGGGCTGTCACCACCCAGGCTGAGCTGGACTATGAGGACCAGGTGTCTTACACCCTGGCCATCACTGCTCGCGACAACGGCATTCCTCAGAAGTCTGACACCACCTACCTGGAGATACTGGTGAACGATGTAAACGACAATGCCCCCCAGTTCCTGCGAGATTCCTACCAGGGGAGTGTCTACGAGGATGTGCCTCCCTTCACCAGCGTCCTGCAGATCTCAGCCACTGACCGTGACTCCGGTCTCAATGGCAGGGTTTTCTACACCTTCCAAGGAGGGGATGACGGAGATGGCGACTTCATTGTAGAGTCCACGTCAGGCATCGTGCGGACGCTGAGGAGGCTGGATCGTGAGAACGTGGCCCAGTACATCTTACGCGCATATGCAGTGGACAAGGGGATGCCACCAGCCCGCACACCCATGGAAGTGACTGTCACTGTGTTGGATGTGAATGACAACCCCCCTGTCTTTGAGCAGGATGAGTTTGATGTGTTTGTGGAAGAGAACAGCCCCATCGGGCTGGCCGTGGCCCGGGTCACAGCCACTGACCCAGATGAAGGGACCAACGCACAGATCATGTACCAGATTGTGGAGGGCAACATCCCTGAGGTCTTCCAGCTGGACATCTTCTCAGGGGAGCTGACTGCCCTGGTGGATCTGGACTATGAGGACCGGCCTGAGTATATCCTGGTCATCCAGGCCACATCCGCTCCCTTGGTAAGCAGGGCTACTGTCCACGTCCGCCTCCTTGACCGCAATGACAACCCGCCAGTGCTGGGCAACTTTGAGATTCTTTTCAACAACTATGTCACAAACCGCTCAAGCAGCTTCCCTGGGGGGGCTATAGGCCGTGTGCCTGCCCATGACCCTGACATCTCAGACAGCCTGACGTACAGCTTTGAGAGAGGAAATGAGCTCAGCCTGGTCCTACTCAACGCCACCACGGGAGAGCTGAGACTGAGCCGTGCACTGGACAACAACCGGCCCCTGGAAGCCATTATGAGCGTGTTGGTGTCAGGTAAGGGAGATGCCCGGTGGGGTTGGGGTCAGGTAAGGGAGATGCCCGGTGAGGTTGGGGTCAGGTAAGGGAGATGCCCGGTGGGGTTGGGGTGGGAATGGGGCTTTGCAGAGACCTGGGCAGCCACTGGAGGGAGAGTGCCATCCAAGGAGGAGTTGGTGACCCAGCTCTACCAGGTGGAGAGCCCAGAGGCTGAGGGATCAGGAACTAGCCTGAGAAGAAACCCCAGGAATCTCGGAGGCTGGCGCAGGCCCCGCCTGCTGCCTCAGGCTGGGCTGGGCTGCTTTGGTTGGCTGCCCCCTGCCTACCAGACTGTGACGCGGTGGGGAAGTGTTGTGAGACTGCCCCGACTGTGGATGCCAAGAATTGTGAGAAAAGGGCGCGTGGAAGCCTGGAAGGCTAGCCGGGCTGGGGGAGGGGAAGGGAAGCCCTGTCACCCTCATTAGAGTGGTCCTGTGATCTCACACACAGCCTTTGGCAGGTCAGGGGGCTACAGGGACAGGGTTCCACCAAGGGTCAGGACCCTGCTGTCCTCTCCTCTCCCTCGGTCTCTCGGCAGAGCTGCTGACACGGACTTTGTCTAGGGCATTCTTTTCCCTCCAGGCAGAAAGAGCCTGGCTTGGCTGCCCCTTCGGAGCTCCAGGCAGGAAGCAAAACCAGGGCTCATTGTCTCTGTCCAAACAGACCTCACTGTCCTGACTTCTTGGTTGAGGTCTGGCTTGGGGGAGGGGCTGCAAGGAAGCCAGGGCAGAGGAACCTTCTGGGCCCCCAGATTCCCCGTGGGCTGCTCCTGGGGTGCTAGGCCATCCGTGCTGATCATGATGGCCTATTCTCAGGAAAACAGACACGGGGTTCTGATGCAACAGGGCGCCTGAGTGTTGAGAGAAGAGACTCTAGCTAGGGTCCTGATGTGCTGGGGAAAGAACAGAGTTCTGGGGGCATGGGAGCCTGGCTGGAACCCAGCCTGGGCATTCCTGCTGCTTGGCCAAGCGCTCAGCCTGCAGATACCCCCTCCTCCCCAGACAGCGGGACTTAGGGGAGGAAAGCAGGACTGGGTGACAGTTTTCTATCTTTCTCTCAGCTCTGGGGGTGAGAAGTAGGGGGGCAGGCTCAGTAGCCAAGCCCCTCACTGAGTCTGGGAGTTGGGGCTTGGGGTGGAGGAGGATGGGACTGCTAGCGATTTTCTCAGGGCTGAGGCGGGGCATCCTACTCTTCCCTCACATGTCAGGCAAGGGAAGATGGCCCCAACCCCTCCTGCTCATACTTCTTGCTGGACAGATACTTCCTGGTCCCACCCCTCAGGTGTCGTCTCAGGGAGAACGAGCTCTCAAAGGCTGTGCGTTAGGTTTGGAGTCTCCTGAAGCTTCGGTTCCCCTCCAGGAGGAGGCAAGGAGCACCCTCATGTGTGCTCTCCCTCCTGCCCTCCATCCAGAGCCTTCTGTCGCGACTCTGGCTCCACAGCTAGGGCCAGTGTGGAGGCCAGCACACTCCGCCTTTGCTTCCCTACCGAGGCACGCAACCCTCTAGGCTAGTGGGAAAGGCTGGGGCAGCACCTAATGCCACTGTGGCTGGCCCTTGCCCTCCCTCCCCCATCAGCCCTGACCCTTGGAGACAGTCACCAAGGCAACCCCAAAGTTCAGGAGGCTGGGTGAGGGGAACTGACGCCCACTGCCCCTTTGTCTCCCTTCTCTGCTTCTTTGTCTGCTCCCTCCTTCCCACCCTGCCCGTGGGGACCCTCCTTCACTGCCTGTCTGTCACCTTCTCCCCTGCTCCTGTGTCTCTCTCCTTCTCCCCCATCTCCTCGGCTGCTGGCTCTTTTCCTGGGTCTTTGTTTTCCCCTGTTGGTCTCTGCGTTTAGATCTGGCTTCTCCTCTTCCCTAAGGCTGCAGCTGCCCCAGCCCGGGCGCTATGGCTCCCTGCAGCCCAAACGGTCCCGGCTGCTGTCTTTCTTAGACACACAGGAGAACCTGCCCAGGGCCTGCTCACCTCCCAGACAGCAGTCTCTGCCAGAAGAGGAGAGCCTGGGAGTCTGCTGCTGGCATCTTCCCGGGTGTAGCTGGCTGAGGCCTAGACCCAGGTGGTATTTCCTGGGTGAGAGCCTACCCCAGCGTTTCTGTTGGAAACAACTCAGGCAACACACTGGTCTCTCCTATTCCCAGCCTGCCTTAGCACCTGAGGGGAGACCTGGGTCAAGGCAGGGAGGAAGGACAAAGAGGAAGGAGAAAGAACATGGGGTTGGTTGCTGGGGTGGGACAATGACAGAGGGGCAGGTGGCCACAGATGGTGGGCCAGATGGGAAGCAGCAGAAACACTCTAAGAGAAGGGCACGGACAGGGCCTGGGTTGGTGGAGGGGCGCATAGAGGAGTGTTGGTTCCCAGGGCCAGGGGATGGCCAAACTTCTGCTCATTGGTCCAGGGGCACTGTGGAGAGTCCTGTGTTAGTTTCTGTCTGGAGGAACTTCCCATCCAGAAAATACTGGGCTGTGACATCAGTTCCTGCTCAGCCCCCCGCCCGAGTGACTGCAGGCTTCTGAAAGGAGGAGGCAACGGAGTCTGATCCTCATCGGGGCCCACGAGCAGGCTGGAGGGCATGGAGGGTGGTGGGCAAAACAGAGGGCAGAGGTCAGCAGCAGTCATGGCAGCAGGCTGGTTAGGAAGCAAGCAGATCGCAGCGAGGGGGCTGGAGGGCAGGGAGGCAGTGGGCGGGCCCAGGGCACAGCTCAGATGGGGGTCTGCCTTCAGCCTGGCTGGGCTCAGCCAACTGCCCGAGGTAGCAGCCACCTGAAGTAAGTGACATACACAGAGTAGAGTCCCATATGCCTTTCCTACTTCTGCCCCAGCAAAACTGGCTCCCGCTCTGTCCCACCTGGGTACAGATTTTTTGCATCTGATTGGAGTGTCTGCTGCCATGTTTTCCTCTTTCTCTTCCTTCCTTCCTTCCTTCCTTCCTTCCTTCCTTCCTTCCTTCCTTCCTTCCTTCCTTCCTTCCCTCCCTCCCTCTTCCTTCCTTCCTTTCTTTCTTTCTTTTCTTTCTTTCCTTCTCCTCCTCCTCCTCCTTTTTTTCAAGACAGGGTTTCTCTGTGTAGCCATGGGTGTCCTGGAACTCACTCTGTAGACCAGGCTAGCCTTGAACTCTGAGATCTGCCTGCCTGTCTCCTGAGGGCTGGGATTAAGCATGTGCCACCACCACTGGCTTGCTGCTGTGTTTTCAAGACACTTCTATGTCCAAAGGATTCTCATCAGCATCTTAGTTTTTACCGAACCCTCACTATGTGGAAGACATTGTATCAAATAGGAATGCCCCTGTAGCCCTTCCGACCCGTTTCTCTTTCTCTGCAGCCCAGTTGTCATTTCTCATCTAAACAGTCCGTTCCCATGTGCTGCACACGCAGGTGTGTGTGGCACTTCTGAGCGCCTGGCGTGTGGGTGGAGTGAGACACCAGTGAATGTGTTCGTACTTAGCTGTTTATAAGTGAGTGTGCTGCCTGGGGGTATGGCAGGCAGACCTTTGGGTGCAACTCGGTGAGCCAAGTTGGTGATGAGTAACTAAGAGGCCCTAGTGCCAGAGGAGAGAGCAGCCCCGTGGGTCTCAGGGTAGAAGCTGCCCAAGCTCTTCTGTTTCTGCTCAGATTCCCCACCCCCACTCACTCTTTCTTTCTCTGGCTCGGAGCAGTGGATGGCGTTGCCACCGGTTAAGGTGGCTCAGCTGGATTTCCTGGGGTGGGGTCCCCCAGGCTACCCAGGGCTGGGCGGGAAGAAGGCTTTGCGTGAGAGGTGTTGCCATGGGAATAGCAGGCTTGCATGGAAGCAGTCAGTCATGGAGCTGAGTGCGAGGGGAAGCTGATGGCCCACTGACCCAATTCACCTTCCTCTCCCAGCCTGCTTCAGCACAATGGTTAAAGAGAGGCAGGGTTACAGTGGAGCAGAGATGTGAGGGGAAGGGTGGAGTCTCATGGTACTCTGGGCCCTCTGGAGCAGTAAGCAAGGGACACAACCCAGAGACTGGTCTCAGGGGACAGGGTTTATACTGAGTAGGGTAAAAGGCATAAACTCAGGACGGTAGTTCACGAATCATGCCGAAGAGTACTGGGAAGATATGCAAAGAGCAGTTTTTTTTTGTTTTGTTTTTTTGTTTTTTGTTTTTTCGAGACAAGGTTTCTCTGTGGCTTTGGAGGCTGTCCTGGAACTCGTTCTGTAGACCAGGCTGGCCTCGAACTCACAGAGATCCGCCTGCCTCTGCCTCCCGGGTGCTGGGATTAAAGGCGTGCGCCACCAACGCCTGGCGAAGAACAGTTTTTGAAAAGCCTCATCTCCTTAAGCACATCTGGGGTGACCTCTCAAGGAGAGACTTGCCTGCAAAACACATCTCACTGGCCACCTTTATGCCATCTAGAAAAGGGTTTTCTTGGGTACCTTGTAGGGTGTGGACTGGATTTTGGCCTATTTGCACCCTCTATTCCTGGGGCTCCCTCCTCTTGGCGCTCCCCCTTCCTGGTGCTCCCACTCCTGGTGCTCCCTCCTCTTGGTGCTCCCCCTTCCTGGTGCTCCCACTCCTGGTGCTCCCTCCTCCGGGTACTCCCTCTCCTCGCTCCCTTTTCTTGACCGCTCCTCTGGTGCTATCATGCAAACCTGCTCTGCCCAAAGCCAGGGTCTGTGGCTTGGCACTTCTGTCTCTGTGTACCCCTAGCCTAATGCTGACCCATGCCACTTCTCTTCAGATGGTGTCCACAGTGTGACCGCCCAGTGCTCACTACGCGTCACCATCATCACAGATGAGATGCTCACACACAGCATCACACTGCGCTTGGAAGACATGTCCCCAGAGCGCTTTCTGTCACCGCTGCTGGGACTCTTCATCCAGGCTGTGGCAGCCACGTTGGCCACACCTCCAGATCACGTGGTGGTCTTCAATGTGCAAAGAGACACCGATGCCCCCGGGGGCCATATCCTCAACGTGAGCCTGTCAGTGGGCCAGCCCCCAGGCCCCGGGGGTGGGCCGCCCTTTCTGCCTTCAGAGGACCTGCAGGAGCGCCTGTATCTCAACCGCAGCCTGCTCACCGCCATCTCCGCTCAACGCGTGCTGCCCTTCGACGACAACATATGCCTGCGCGAGCCCTGTGAGAACTACATGCGCTGCGTGTCCGTGCTGCGCTTTGACTCCTCTGCGCCCTTCATCGCCTCCTCGTCCGTGCTCTTCCGGCCCATTCACCCCGTCGGGGGCCTGCGCTGTCGCTGTCCACCCGGCTTCACGGGCGACTACTGTGAGACTGAGGTGGATCTCTGTTACTCAAGGCCTTGTGGACCCCACGGGCACTGCCGCAGTCGAGAGGGTGGCTACACCTGCCTCTGTCGCGATGGCTACACGGGTGAGCCTAGGGCAGGGACCGCGAGGGCAGCCACCGTGGGGGCAGCCCTGCAGGGCTGACGCTCTGGTCCAAATCAGGCTAATGATGGGGCTGCCTCGTTCCTCCCAAGAGTCCAAACGGCAGCTGCGCCAGGCACTCCTGGATCCTACTTGCTGTCTGACAACTGCCTGCTTAGGAAGTCAGAATGGGGAGCCTTCTGCTCGCCGTGCAAGCCCACACACCCACAGCCCACACTGGCACATGCACGCCTGCACGCATACCCACTGAGACTGTGTAATTGAGGTCAGTCCTGCACCTGGGCTTGTGTCCCAGCTTCGCCACTAACAGCTGTGTGAAAATGAGAGTTACTTAGCTTCCCTTCCCACAGTATTTAAGATGGAGACAACTGATTTATTTAGGTCAAAAGTTGCTTGAGAGGACTCATGTAAATAATTGGACACTCAGAGAAAGCTGGCTTGTGGAAAGTGTTGGCTTTTCTTTAAGTGCTGAGGGGAGGTGACTTGATCCAGTTAGAGGTGTTGCTGGCCTAGGGCCAGGACTCCATAGTGCCGAGTGAATCCCTTCGTTAACTTGTAGTCAGACTTTCCCCACCCAGGAACTGGAGGAAGGCGCTGAGGAGCTGGGGTTTGGAGGCATGGGAGTTCCAGGACACTGTACGTGTAGCCCTAGGCAGGTGGCTCCATGTCTGCCTTCCTATTGGTCTGTGGCTGCAGGTCTCTTCACACCCCCTGCCCTTCCCCGATCGCTTGTCCATCACTTCCCTCCCAGACTCCCGGGCCTCAGACTCGCTGCTTCTGCCAGGAGCGTAGGCAGGCTCAGTGCCTCCTGCTGTAGCCTCCTGCCCAGAACTTGCCAGACTTGACTCTTCTGTGCTGCTGCTGGGGGTGGGGGTGGGGGAGAAGGGAGGGGAGTCTTTGTCCAGGAGGATGGGGAAGGGGCTTAGAGTAGGCGAACAACAGTTTCCATGGAAACTAGAGCCAGCCACTAGGCACAGGAACTGAGAACTATCTCTGGAATCAGTATGGGGAGGGAGAGAGGGATTTTCTCATGTGATGTCTGGATTTTTTCTTTACTCCTCTGATTCCTCATCTATCCTCAGGCTCAGGCCCCATCCCCAGTGTCGTCTCAGTGCAGAGGGACCCTTAGTTAAGATCTCAAAGTTCTGTTCACAGAGAAGCCCTAGCTTACCTCACACTATTGACCCAACCCATAACTCAAACGGAGGTGGAAACCTGGCCACATCTCTAGGGAAGAAAACCGATCTCCATGCCTGACAGAACAAAGGCGCCCGTGGGACGGGGGGCAGGAGGGCTGGTCTCTAGGTCCCTCCTTTCTTGGCATTCGCCTCTGCAGGGGCCAGGGTCTTGGGACCAGGGCCCCTGACGGTATGAGGAAGGGCCAGAGGAGCTTGCAGCAGAGACATGTGGAACACGGCGAGAGCGGTGTGGTGGGCTGGTGTAGGACAGGGTTCAGAGAAGAAAGCCACTGGAGGGGAGTGAGGATGCTTGGGAGAGTCTGGGAGGGTGGCAGGGGATGTTACCAGGGATGTGTTAGCCTTTCATCACTGGATGTACCTCAGAGAAATGGTTTAAAACGAGGAAGGTCTCACCGTCACGCGGTCTCTGCAGTTTCTGTGCTTGTGACTGGCTCCTCTGCTATAAGCGAGCCAGAGAGGCAGGGCATCGTGTGGCAGAGCAAAGCTGCTCCCGCAGGTGAGGGGCCTGGAACGAGATCTAGCCATTTGTGGCGTGTCTCCAGTGACCTGCTTCGTCCGGTGACACTCCTCCTCCTGATGTTTCCGGTGCCTTCTAAAATGGCACCGTCAGCCGGGACCAAGCCTTTGCCATCTGCGCTTTGGGGGAGGGTTCATATTCAGACCAGAGTAGGGGACCCCCAGCTGCTGCCTCCTCGGGGCCTCACCCTGCTTGTCCTCTCTCCCCAGGTGAGCACTGTGAAGTGAGTGCCCGCTCAGGCCGTTGCTCTCCAGGTGTCTGCAAGAACGGGGGTACCTGTGTCAACCTGTTGGTGGGAGGTTTCAAATGTGACTGCCCGTCTGGGAACTTTGAGAAACCCTTCTGCCAGGTGACCACGAGAAGCTTCCCTGCCCGCTCCTTCATCACCTTCCGTGGCCTGCGCCAGCGTTTCCACTTCACCCTGGCCCTCTCGTGAGTGGCTGGGCCCTGGGGCGTCTCCCGACAGGTGGGGCAGCCGATCGGGCAGTGAAAGCACTGAGAGCTGCTGTTGGCAGAGCACTTGGAGTGACCTGTCTGCTTTGCCACTCTCGGGATCTGCCTGGCACTCTTCCTTGAGGATGGGGCGCCAGGATGCCAGGGCTATTGTTTGGGTTCACCATCTGCATTCCGACCCCATAGCCTTAGCCAAAGGGTCAGCTTTGGTGTTGCTTGGGCGGATGGGGTACTAGCGTGCAGGTGGGTGCCCCTTTCCTTGCCCCCACGGTCAACCTCCCATACAGGTTTGCTACCAAGGAGCGTGATGGGCTTCTATTGTACAATGGGCGCTTCAATGAGAAGCATGACTTTGTGGCTCTGGAGGTGATCCAGGAGCAGGTCCAGCTCACCTTCTCTGCAGGTGAGCCCCATGCCTCATGTTCTTGCCCATCTCCTAAGGTCTTATGTCTCCCAGCCCTTGACCTCGAGTCATATACCTTCCCTCCCTCCTGGCCCCCATCCCTAGACATGCCCGAATCTCTGCCACTCCCAACACTCTTCCTGTGACCCAGCTTATCTGGTCCTTTCTCTAGGGGAGTCAACCACCACCGTGTCCCCGTTTGTGCCTGGAGGGGTCAGTGATGGTCAGTGGCACACAGTGCAGCTGAAGTACTACAATAAGGTGGGTGTTCGTGAGGGACAGAGAATTTAGAGGGAGGCCTCTGATCTTGGTGTACATGTTTGCCTAGACCTGGGTGGTTTGGGTTTTTGTTTGTTTGATTGATTAGTTTGTTGGTTTTTTTCAAACCAGTGTTTCTCTATGTAGCCTTGGCTGTCCTGGAACTCACACTGTAGACTAGGCTGGCCCTGAACTCAGAGATCCACCTGACTCTGCCTCCTGAGTGCTGGCATTAAAGGCGTGCGCCACCACGGCCAGGCTGACCTGGGCGGTATTGTCATAGCTCTTGTGCCTGGGAAGAGGGAGGGGATGTGCCCCTTGCCAGGACATTTCCATCCCACGGGGTAGTCCTTGATTGCGGGTGTAGGTGTATGGAGAGTTACAACGCTACGCTGGTCTGTGCTGGGTTCTCTGTCTACGGCCTCCCTTCTCTGTCCACAGCCAGTGTTGGGCCAGACAGGGCTTCCACAAGGCCCATCTGAGCAGAAGGTAGCTGTGGTGACTGTGGATGGCTGTGACACAGGGGTGGCTCTGCGCTTTGGAGCTGTGCTGGGCAACTACTCCTGTGCTGCCCAGGGCACCCAAGGAGGCAGCAAGAAGTAAGCGGGAAGGGAGGGCCAGGAGTTAAGGAGCGAGGGTAGTGCTGTCCAAGGGAATAGGCTCTGGGGTGGGAACTAATCAGATGTGCCCCTCCTTACGCTGGTCAGGGTTGGGGAGTTAGCCAGGCCTTGGTGGGCTGTGAGGGGAGAAGCGTGCTCTGAGGCCGCACATTTCTATACTGGGTGTCTGTATAGTACCTCCACTTCCTGGGCACTGTCCCGCAGGGCCTCTAGTGCTAGGGTATGGGGGTAAAGGGAGAACCGTAAACTAAACCCAAGTTTCTTCACATTGTTCACCCCAGGTCTCTGGACCTGACCGGGCCCTTGTTGCTGGGAGGGGTGCCAGATCTGCCGGAGAATTTCCCTGTCCGAATGCGGCACTTCGTGGGCTGTATGAGGAACCTTCAGGTGGATAGCCGGCACGTAGACATGGCCGACTTCATTGCCAATAATGGCACTGTGCCTGGTACGGAGACCTGGGGGTAGGGCCAAGGCTGGGAGCCAAGTGCCTAGAGGAGAGGCTTGCATGGCTTGGGAACATCAGCCTGTGTGGCCTTCCGTCAGAGCCGTGCCCTGGGGTCCTTGAGTTCCTTTCTTTCCATTCCAGGCTGCCCCACCAAGAAGAATGTGTGTGACAGCAACACTTGCCACAACGGTGGCACCTGCGTGAACCAGTGGGATACGTTCAGCTGCGAGTGTCCATTAGGCTTCGGGGGCAAGAGCTGTGCCCAGGGTAGGAGTGGCAGCTGGCAGAGGCTGGGGCCTGGGTGCTGTCAGTGTCTGGCATCACTGGCAGGGCTGGGGCAGGCTCTGGGCAGGGCTCCGGGAGCTGGGCTGTGGGTGGAAAAGCGTGTCTGGGCAGAGTTGGGAGCAGGTAGGCAGGAGACAAAGGGCCTAGTCAGAGGCAGGCCCTGGGCACAATGTAGGGCGGGCCCAGGACAGGTAAACGCTCTGGAGGGCGGGGCAGTGAGGGATTGGATATGCGGAGAGCCAAGGCCACCACAATTCCTACATCACTGCTCTGCCCTTCAGTCACTTTTCATCTGTCTCCCCAGAAATGGCCAATCCCCAGCGTTTCCTGGGCAGCAGCCTTGTGGCCTGGCACAGCCTCTCTCTGCCCATCTCTCAACCCTGGCACCTCAGCCTCATGTTCCGCACACGCCAGGCAGATGGCGTCCTGCTGCAGGCCGTCACCAGGGGGCGCAGCACCATCACCCTACAGGTGATGCTGGGCACGGGAGAGTGTGGCAAGCCCTGGCCTGGCTCGGGTTGTAAGATCCTTCAGGGGGTTGGATCCAGGTGGCTGGGCAGGGTTTGGGGCAAGGAGACGCTGGCTGGGCCCATTCGGTGGGTCAGCACTGCCATCTGTTGGGCATAAGGGAAATAAGCAGTCTCTGCCCACTGCCAGGCTGTAGGATGCGTTTGGTGCGGAGGAAGCAGGGCAGTGTAGATTGGAAGACGAGCCTGTTGAGGTGATCAGCTGATCTTTTTTCCCTCGAACAGCTTCGGGGAGGCCACGTCGTGCTAAGTGTGGAGGGCACAGGACTCCAGGCCTCATCTCTGCGTCTGGAGCCAGGCCGGGCCAACGATGGTGACTGGCATCATGCACAGCTGTCACTGGGAGCGAGCGGGGGCCCTGGCCATGCCATCCTATCCTTTGACTATGGGCAACAGAGGGCAGAGGGTAACCTGGGCCCTCGGCTGCACGGGCTGCACCTGAGCAATATTACAGTCGGGGGAGTGCCTGGGCCAGCCAACGGTGCGGCTCGAGGCTTCCGGGGCTGTTTGCAGGTGAGTCTCCTCTTCCGACTTCCCGTCGCGTCTCCACCTGCAGCCCTGTCACAGAGGGCCAATGTTGTTCTGATCCCCCCAGGGCGTGCGGGTAAGCGAGACACCTGAGGGCGTTAGCAGTCTGGATCCCAGCCGTGGGGAGAGCATCAATGTGGAACCGGGCTGTAGCTGGCCAGATCCCTGTGACTCAAACCCATGCCCTGCCAACAGCTACTGCAGCAATGACTGGGACAGCTATTCTTGCAGCTGTGATCCAGGTATGCTAAGGATCCTAGGAAACTGTCTCCAGTGTGAGACCTGGAGTCAGTCACACCTCTGCGCCATCATCTTCTGTACGTCAAGGATATAGCCATCTGGTGCAGTGTTCAGAGTGTGAGGAAATATGAAGAGGAGTTAGGTGGACGAGAATGCCAGCCGAGGACGGGGACTGAACCTTTCTGGTCCTTCTTGTCCCAGGTTACTATGGTGACAACTGCACTAATGTATGTGACCTGAATCCATGTGAGCACCAATCTGTGTGTACCCGAAAACCCAGTGCACCCCTTGGCTACATCTGCGAGTGTTTACCAAACTATCTTGGGCCATACTGTGAGACCAGGTAGGTGGGCCAGGGCTTATCTCTAGTGTCACTCTGAGCCTTAGGAGTCTGGGTGAGCCTGATGGTGGTGGCATATGCCTTTAGTCCCAGCACTTGGGAGGCAGAGGCAGACGGATCTCTGTGAGTCCGAGGCCACCCAGTCTACTGAGTGAGTTCCAGGACAGCTTCCAAAGCTACAGAGAAACCCTGTCTCAAATCCTTCCTCCCCAAACAAAAGAGTCTGGCTGAACTGCAGCCGAGGTTGGAAGAACCACATGTGGTTGAAGCGGGAGAGGCAGTGGCAGAGGGGACTCATACCTGTTGGGGTTTCCTTCTGCAGGATTGACCAACCTTGCCCCCGTGGCTGGTGGGGACACCCCACATGTGGTCCATGCAACTGTGATGTCAGCAAAGGCTTTGACCCAGATTGCAACAAGACAAGTGGCGAGTGCCACTGCAAGGTGACGGTCCCCCAAAGGAGCCCCTATTGTGGCCACCCTGTCCTCTCTCCTGCAACTTCTGGCCCTACAGGGAAAGCAGTGGGGATGGGCCTTCCTACAGAGAGCTGAGGGCCCTGTGCCTTTGCCCTATCAGGCATGGCAAGTGACTGTTTGTCCTCATTATCTGGGCACTATTGAATCAGTGAGCCCTGGAATAGCTATATGGGCTGTCTGCAGCCTGTTTGGGATGCTTGGCTCCTCAGTAATAAGTTCAGCTCCAAGTCTTCACCTACTGTTGAGAATGTTGAATCCTATTTCCACAAAGGCCTGGGTTAGGGGAGACTCTCTCTGGGGAGGCCACAGCTTGAAGGAAGTATCCACTAGCATCCAGGAAAGACATCTTGATCCAATGACTCTTTTTCCCTCCTAGGAGAACCACTACCGGCCCCCTGGTAGCCCCACTTGCCTCTTGTGCGACTGTTACCCCACTGGTTCTTTGTCCCGAGTCTGTGACCCTGAGGATGGCCAGTGTCCATGCAAGCCTGGTGTCATTGGGCGTCAATGTGATCGCTGTGACAACCCATTTGCTGAGGTCACCACCAATGGCTGCGAAGGTAGGGCATTTGGGACAGGTAGGTTCTGTCCTCACTGCGTGCCAAGAGCTCACATCCCAGGAGGTTACAAGTGAGGCTCAGAGTGGGCTGGGGATGTTGAGGGAAGGCTGTGGAGCCAGGACAGAGCTGCTCACAGGCGACCTTGTGTTCTTCTCTGCAGTGAATTATGACAGCTGTCCACGGGCCATAGAGGCTGGGATTTGGTGGCCCCGTACGCGCTTCGGGCTACCTGCTGCTGCCCCCTGCCCCAAAGGTTCCTTTGGTAGGTTTAGAGGACTACGACGGGATATCAAGGAGTTGATCTTCGATGTCAGTGGAATAGACAGGAAGCCCCCAGCTTGTACATCCTGGGACCCCACTTCCTGCTTTCTAGCTCCTAGAGACTCCATGGCTCACCTTCCTTCACCCACCCCTCAACCAAGGCTGACCAAGAGCACCTATATCCTCGACTCAACAGAACTGCTGAAAACCCTTCATGTCCTGGGAACAGGGCTGGGCGCTAAACTCAAAGATGAATTGCATGGGACTCCTACCTTCCGCTAACTCCCTGGTCCTGGAGTTTTGCCACATTAAAGGGAGCAGTCCTAAAGAATACTGAAGGGTGCTATTCCAGCCACAGAATGGGGGTTGATGCTGACCCTTAGATGAGCAATGTGTGGAGTACAAGGTGGTAGCTGAGTGGAGGGGGTAGTGATTCTTGGGGGTGGGGTGGGGTTACAAACCTCTGTTCCCGTGGCCTTTGCTCGCACTGATTTTGCAGAGGTTTTGACTCTAGAGTTCTGTACCCGTCTTCTTCTTTTCCTATGGGCTGTGAGTCTGTCTGACTCATGAAGTGCTCCAAGTAGATGGTGGGGCCTCCTGCATCCCCTAAGTCCCACCCTCTTGCTTCTTCCCTCCAGGGACTGCTGTGCGCCATTGTGATGAGCACAGAGGCTGGCTCCCTCCAAACCTCTTCAACTGCACGTCAGTCACCTTCTCAGAGCTAAAGGGCTTTGTAAGTAGACCCCTCGCCTTGTCTATCCACAGAGACCACTTCTGCCCCGCCAACCTCCTGAGGCCCGTTTACCCCAGAGCCCCAACCCCCACCTCCCTGTCCTGTCTGAACCCTGCCCTTCTGTCCTCCCATCCAGGCTGAGCGGCTGCAGCGAAATGAGTCAGGCCTGGACTCAGGACGCTCCCAGCGGCTAGCCCTGCTGCTGCGCAACGCCACACAGCACACCGCCGGCTACTTTGGCAGCGATGTCAAGGTGGCCTACCAGCTGGCCACACGACTTCTGGCTCACGAGAGTGCCCAGCGGGGTTTTGGGCTGTCTGCCACACAGGATGTGCATTTCACCGAGGTGGGGCTTGAAGTAGGCATGCTGGGGTCCCGTGAGAGGTCCTACTCGTGGTGATCTTAGGGAATACTCCCTTGCCGTAAGGAGCCCCACCCCTGGCGTGAGGCCTCCATGACAGCCTGTAAGCCATGGTGCAACACAGGTGATTCAGAGTATCTACTCCTACAGTGTCAGGACTCAAGCGCCTAGCAGACGCTGCTTGTACTGAGGTATGGGCTGACCTGAAGCAGAGCCCTGCCTATTAGAAGAGCATGCTGCACAAGGGCATGCAGCAGAATGAGGCACAGGAGGGCACCCTGGGTAGCTTCAGAGTGTGGAGGAAGCGGCAGCGGCAGAATGCCCATGATGGGAGTGGGCAGCACTTCCTAGGGGAGGTGCTAGTGGGTGGGTCTGTGCCAGGCACAGGCTGGAACTTGGTATGAGGTTGACCACAAGCACATGCCACTCTGACCATGCCCATCTCCAGAATCTGCTGAGGGTGGGCAGCGCCCTCCTGGATGCAGCCAACAAGAGGCACTGGGAGCTGATCCAACAGACAGAGGGTGGTACCGCCTGGCTGCTCCAGCACTATGAGGCCTACGCCAGTGCCCTCGCTCAGAATATGCGGCACACCTACCTAAGCCCCTTCACCATCGTCACACCCAACATTGGTGAGATGGTGCTGGCTGGGGAGGGGTTTGTGGAGAGAGCCCCACCCCCATTCCAAAGGGCCACCATGACAGGGAGCGGTCTGCCTGCCTCACTCAGCGTCTGACTCGTGGCCATACTCCTTTCTAGTCATCTCTGTAGTGCGCCTGGATAAAGGGAACTTCGCCGGGACCAAGCTGCCCCGTTATGAGGCACTGCGTGGGGAGCGTCCCCCGGATCTTGAGACCACAGTCATTTTGCCAGAGTCTGTCTTCAGAGGTCAGCAGGGAACATGGGTGTGGTACCAGCTTTGGCCTGGGGTACCCATGCGGACGGCACAGAGGGCGGGGCCCACTGAGTGTAGCGGCGATTCCTTCCAGAGATGCCCCCCATGGTGAGGCCTGCAGGCCCGGGCGAAGCCCAGGAGACTGAGGAACTGGCACGGAGGCAGCGGCGGCACCCAGAACTGAGTCAGGGCGAGGCAGTGGCCAGCGTCATCATCTACCACACCCTGGCTGGACTGCTGCCCCACAACTACGACCCGGACAAGCGAAGCCTGAGGCAAGTGCCTAGGACAAGGCCTGGGAGGCTGGGGTTAGTCCGGCGATTGTGGAGGCAGCTCCCGGTGATACGGCTATCTCATGGCTGCCCTGGTGACTGCGTACCCATCTACCACAGAGTCCCCAAGCGCCCAGTCATCAACACGCCTGTGGTAAGCATCAGCGTCCATGACGATGAGGAGCTCCTGCCACGCGCTCTGGACAAGCCAGTCACGGTGCAGTTCCGGCTGCTGGAGACTGAGGAGCGGACCAAGCCCATCTGTGTCTTCTGGAACCACTCAATCTTGTGAGCCTGGACCACCCTTATTCCCATAGCTTTGAGCCAAGAGTCCAGGCTCCTGGATGCCCATCGTCCTGCCCCCCTGACTCTAAATTCTTGCAGGGTCAGTGGCACTGGCGGCTGGTCTGCCCGAGGCTGTGAAGTCGTCTTCCGTAATGAGAGCCACGTCAGCTGCCAGTGCAACCACATGACAAGCTTTGCTGTGCTTATGGACGTGTCCCGGCGGGAGGTCGGGCTCACAGGGGTAGCCCAGGGCTGTGGGTGGGAACTGAGCTGGGGGGCTGGGTGCTCAGGCTCTGTTCTCTTGACCCCCCCCCCGGTACTCATCCCTCAGAATGGTGAGATCTTACCCCTGAAGACTCTGACGTTCGTGGCCCTTGGAGTCACCTTAGCTGCCCTGATGATCACCTTCCTCTTCCTCACTCTCCTTCGTACCCTACGCTCCAACCAACATGGCATCCGACGCAACCTCACAGCTGCCCTGGGCCTGGCCCAGCTAGTCTTTCTCCTGGGGATCAACCAGGCTGACCTCCCTGTAAGATACTTTCTCTCCCAGAGACCCTGCCAATGTCCAGCCCCACCAAAGCTCCCTCTAGCCTTCTCCCATCCCTGCTCCCAAGACAGTGAGTTGATAAAGGGCCCAGTCCAGTACCTGGACCACGGTTTGCTCTTCTCTAGTTCTTTCTCAACGTTCCAGCACCCCAGATGTTCTTACCTTTAGCCTGGGCTTCCTCTGAGGCAGCTCGCAGCACAGGCCTCGCCCCTGCCTCCGTCCCCTGAGTGTCCTCCCTGTGCTGGCCGTCTTGGCTCCTGATCAGTGTCCCGGCCCTCAGTTTGTTTGCACAGTCATCGCCATCTTGCTGCACTTCCTGTACCTTTGCGCCTTCGCCTGGGCTCTGCTGGAAGCCTTACACCTGTACCGGGCACTCACAGAGGTGCGAGACGTCAATGCCAGCCCCATGCGTTTCTACTACATGCTGGGCTGGGGTGTTCCTGCTTTCATCACAGGTACCCTGCCTCCTTTCCTGGCTTGGAGATTCCATGTCCCTAGGCCCTGGGCCCATGCCATGTACCCCAAACCCATAGCTCAGGTCCTGAGACTCCCTTCCCCCATACCTGGGCAAGCTGACGTTGGGTGGCAGGGGCTGGGTTTCTTCCCGGAGAGGGCGTGGGACAGCTGGCCCGTCTCTATGCGCCACACCTGGCTCTGTGAACCTTGACTGCAGCCTCAGTTTCCCCCACCCTGAGAACCCTGCTTTGCTACTGTCTATGCTCCAGGTCTGGCTGTGGGCTTGGATCCTGAAGGCTATGGGAACCCTGACTTCTGCTGGCTCTCCATCTACGATACGCTCATCTGGAGTTTTGCTGGCCCGGTGGCCTTCGCTGTTTCGGTAAGTGCTAGACAGTGAATTGGGGTGAGCAGGCTGAGTGTGTCCTCCAGATCCCCTCTAGGAAGAGCTGAGGCTTCGGGGCAGGGCAGAAACTGTCTACACTCTCTGGTCCTCTCCCCACTGCCCAGATGAGTGTCTTCCTGTACATCCTGGCGGCCCGAGCCTCCTGTGCTGCCCAGCGGCAGGGCTTCGAGAAGAAAGGCCCTGTGTGAGTATCGGCAGGGGCTTGGACACAGGGTGGGCCCAGGTGTAGAGGGCCTCATGCCGGAACTCATGCGCTCCTCTGCCCTCCAGCTCAGGCCTGCGTCCCTCCTTTGCTGTCCTTCTGCTACTGAGTGCCACGTGGCTGCTGGCACTGCTCTCTGTCAACAGCGACACTCTCCTCTTCCACTACCTCTTTGCTGCCTGCAATTGTGTCCAGGTACCTGGCCCCACCTTATGGAGAGGAAGGGAGCGTGCCTGGGGGCGGGTTACCCGAGTGTCTCAACCACTGCTGTCTCTGCAGGGTCCCTTCATCTTCCTCTCCTATGTGGTGCTCAGCAAGGAGGTCCGGAAAGCACTGAAGTTCGCCTGCAGCCGCAAGCCCAGTCCTGACCCTGCTCTGACCACTAAGTCCACGCTGACCTCGGTGAGGGTGCCTGGGTTTGTGCACAAGCGCTGTCTCTCTCGGTGGAGGGGGAAGCAGGCCCTGTTTGCTCTGTGTGCTTTTTACCTGGGTACCCTTACTTGTGCACCCCTTCCTCCTCAGAGGAAGGGGTAAAGTGGTTTGTGTGGTCTCGGGAGGAGAAGCTGTCACAGGAAAGCCCAGGCCATTCGGGGTGTTCAGTGTTGTACAGCTGTGGCATAGCTGTGACCATTGCTAGGCCCTAAAGGGAACGTAATATACAAGGAGCCTTTCACTTTAAGACACGGGCATATGAGAGGTAGGACTTGGGGCAAGTTCCTGGCACCCTGGGGCCCATCCCTCCAGTTCCCCTTCTCATTGACCTGTCTGTCTCCTGCCTAGTCCTATAACTGCCCCAGCCCCTATGCTGACGGGAGGCTCTACCAGCCTTATGGAGATTCAGCTGGCTCGCTGCACAGTGCCAGCCGCTCAGGCAAGAGCCAGCCCAGCTACATCCCCTTCTTGCTGAGGTGAGCCCTGGAATGGGAGCGCTGAGAAGGAGGGGAGACCTTGCTAAAACCAAGACCAGCCAGCTGCTAGGAACTGAGGGTCTCAGAATGGCCGACACGGCTCACAGCTTAGACTAGAGCAGTGAGGGACAAGGTAGGACCTGGGAATCTTGCTAGAGAGGCCACACTGGCCCCTACAGCATCATCTTGTCTTTTTAGGGAGGAGTCCACGCTGAACCCTGGCCAGGGTCCCCCTGGCCTAGGGGACCCAGGTGGCCTATTCCTAGATGGTCAAGACCAGCAACACGGTGAGGAGAGAAGGCCCTGGCTGCCTAGCAGGGCAGGGGCCTAGCTTTTGCTGTGGGTGGGCTGGGCAGGTGGGACAGTTGTGATCCCTCCCTGACCTCCCAGATCCCGACACGGACTCTGACAGTGACCTGTCCCTGGAAGATGACCAGAGTGGTTCCTATGCTTCCACCCACTCATCAGACAGCGAGGAAGAGGAGGAGGAGGAGGCCGCCTTCCCTGGCGAGCAGGGCTGGGACAGCCTGCTGGGTCCTGGAGCTGAGAGACTGCCCCTGCACAGTACCCCCAAGGGTGGGCCAGCACCAGGGCTGCAGCCTTTGGGGGGCAATGGAAGCCCAAGAGGCCAGGAAACCAGAACTGGGGTGGTGGCTGTCCTAGTTGCCTACACTCTCTGGGACTCACATACTTCATTTCTTTGACAGATGTGGGCCCAGGGTCTGGGAAGGTCCCTTGGCCAGGAGACTTTGGGACTACAACAAAGGAGACTAGTGGTGGTGGGCCCCTTGAAGAGCGGCCTCGGGAGAATGGAGATGCTCTATCTCGGGAAGGGTCTCTGGGACCTCTCCCAGTCCCTTCCACCCAACCTCACAAAGGTGAGCCTCCCCTAGCTCCTCCACGCTCATATTCTTCTGGTGGGTTCCCTAGGGTGCCCCAGCGCCTCCCACCTGCTGCTCACGGTACCCACCTCCTTGTCGCAGGCATCCTGAAGAAGAAATGTCTCCCCACCATCAGTGAAAAGAGCAGCCTCCTGAGGCTGCCCCTGGAGCAGGGCACTGGGTCTTCTCGGGGCTCCTCAGCCAGTGACGGCAGTCGGAACGGGCCTCCCCCTCGCCCACCACCACGCCAGAGTCTCCAGGAACAGCTCAATGGGGTCATGCCCATCGCCATGAGCATCAAGGCAGGCACCGTGGATGAGGACTCGTCGGGCTCCGAGTGAGTCGGCTCGGGTGGGAGGAACAGGGTGTTACCTGCAGAGGTCCTGGCTGGGGCAGAGCTGCCTCTGAGCTCCAGCGGGCTACTCTGTCAGGCAGTCGGAAGACAGACGGGCTAAGTGGAGTCCAGCTCCCTTGTGTGCCCTGACAGCGTGGTGCTCCGTCGGGGGGGATACTAACCCCCTTGGGCTTTAAGAGCTGCAGCAGCATGCGAGGGGGAGCCGGGCTGCTTTTCTGTTTCTTTCTCTGGTGGAAGCTGCTCACTGTCCCCTCTGCTGCCCCAGCTAATCCTCTGTCTGCTTCTCTGCCACTCTCCTCCCCTGCCTCTCCAGATTTCTCTTCTTTAACTTCCTGCATTAACCCTGGGCCGGTGTTCCTTCGTGGGTCCCGAAGCTCCCCTCCCTTCCCCTGCCGCGCTCATGCCCTACTCCTGTCTTCTGCTTTATCCTGCTCCCTCTGCCTGCCCAAGCAGCGATGAAACATCCACCTGAGGAGCCTGGGCCTTGCACCTAAGGCCATCTAGTGCCAAGTCCCTCCCCCACCCCCCCTCACTGCACTTTGGACCCCTGGGGCCAACATCTCCAAGACAAAGTTTTTCAGAAAAAAGGAAAAAAAAAGAGGAAAAAAAGAATTTAAAAAAAGGATCTCCACTCTTCATGACTTCAGGGATTAATTTTTTTTATACGCTGGAAATGGATTCCCTTTCCCTTCCCAAAGAGGATAGGACCTCCCAGGACGTGTCCCAGCCTCTCTTCAGTCTCCCATCTGCTGTGCCTCTGGGAGGAGAGGGACTCTTCGGGGGCCTGCCCCTCATTTGCCATCACCAAAAGGAAAGGACAAAGCCACACGCACCAGGGGCTTGTGCCCCTGCAAGGCTGCACCGGACAGACAGGCCTCAGCTGCCGAGGGGTCAGGACAAAAACGGCATTTCTCATCTGCCAATTCCACCTCTCCCAGGACCTGAAAAGCCCTGTCCGGCCAGGGGCAGAAGGACTCATCGCCCCTGGACCCCCAAATGCTGCATGAACCATTTTAAGGGGAAGCCTGTGCCCCCACATGGGGAATGATTACCCCAGCCCCTCTCCTTTTCCTGGGCTCTGGCCATGTGCTGCAGCCCAGGTGTTTGCTCAGTTTGCTGACCCCAAAGTGCTTCATTTCTCCTGCCCGACCTTCGGGGAGGGCCAGTCACGCTTAAGTTACGCTTCTTTGCCGAGTGTGTGGCACCAGGAGAGACAGTAAGCACAGAGCTGGCTTGCTGGCCCCGAGGGGCCTCGAGCACAGGTTTCCAGTCTGGGTTCTGGTGCCCACTCACCCCTCCCATATCAGACGAATGCTGTTTTGTCTGACCTGCCGTGGCCTCTGAGACATGTTCTATTTTTAACCCCTTCCTGGAATTGACTCTCTTCTTCAAAGAACCAGGCCCTGCTCCTTGTCCTCCTGCTTGACCCCAGCTCCCTGTGAAGAGAGAGTTAATATATATTTTTATTTATTTGCTTTTTGTGTTGGGATGGGTTTGTGTCCAGTCCCGGGGGGTCTGATACGGCCATTGCAGGCTGGGTGAGTGTAGCGGACCTGGATTTGGGGCCTACCATCCTTCCTCTTCTGCTTCCTCAGTTTTTGACAACCGCTCTTCATTTGAGTCGCCCTTCCGGCTAAGCATGTATCCCAGACTTGTCACTGACTTCCCTTCTAAAGCAGGTGGCTAGAACCAAGGCTGGCTTGGCCTCTGGCTTTCCTGCCAGGGCTTCTCAGCTGCCTTCTGCCCTCAGCAATTCCTGTAAAGGGTTAAAAATTTAACTGGATTTTTTTAAACTACTGATGACTTGACTTAAATACAAAGATGCTGGAAGCTCACTTGATACTAACCATCAGATTGTACATTTTGACTGTTGCTGTAAATATGGTAGTTTTGGTTTTGTTTTTGGTCCCCCCTCATACTACTGAATAAACTAGTTCTGTGCAGGCACTGTGTCACCGTCATTGGCTTCTGTGTTGAAACCTGGGTGGAGGCTAGGATTTGGGGAAACAGGATAGGTAAAACCTTGAAGTTCCCTCGGAGGACAACGAAACTAAAGCCGTATCAGCACACTGCTCTGAGCCTGGCTGTCTGAAGGATGATAAGTTGGGTGGGTAGCAGGGTATCTTTGTTCCCCAGGTTATAGAACTGGCCCAAGAGGCTCTGCAGATCGGGCCGCATCCCAGATAGGAACAAATTTTCTGGGGCAGAATTCAGTAGCTAGGGAGGGATGAGTGGCAGGTGGGAATTTGTGGGCCACTTTTCATTTGTTCTGTTGGGGAATGAAGCATGTACTCATTCTGGGGATAAGTCTGTGCTTGGTAACATATCTGCTAGTCCCTTATTTTTGTTTGTCAAAGGTCCATCCAATAAAGTAGAACTTACCATGGGGCAGTATAGGGTTGAAATTAAAAACAAACCCCAGAACTACGAGAAGTGGCCTAAATTGTCTGAGCCTTAGTTCCCAGGTCTACAAAATGAGGACAGTGGTAACAGCATTCACCTAATTGAGCTTTTATGAGGATTAAATAACTTAACACATGCAAAGTGCTTAAAACTGTTCACAGTGCATAGCAAGAAGGCAATAAACACACGCTTTCTCGGTTGTTGCTTGAGGAGCGGGAGGGGTGGTGAACAGTATGCAGACAGAAAAATAGAGATTCAGGCCAAAGGGAAGGAGGCAGGAAGACAGCTGAACAAGAAAAGCACCTGTGGCAGGTAGGCACTACCAAGTGAATGCCACTTCAGCAGGTTTGGAGCAATGCTGGGTGGAGGCAGAAACTCAAGACTGACCCAGTGAGAGGGGACAATGCCTTGCCAGCTCCAGCCACCAGGTGGCAGCAGCACAGGGGTCTGCGGCTGGCTTTGCTTCTTCACCACCCACAGGGACTTGGATCAAAAAAGCCCGCCACCTACTGGCCATGCCTAGGTGTGTGTTCTTAGGCTTGTTGATACTACAGAGCCAAGAGGTCACTGGCTACTTCTGTTCTGAGTCTGTGCCGTGACCTATCCAGAGGATGGAGGCCCAGACTGGAAAACAGGACAAGCAAAGCCTAGAAGACTCCAGGAGATCAAGGGGACTTAGCTCCTGACTGGTTGGTAAGCTTGCCCTCTCTATGGCCCAAAGTCTCACTAGCACAGAGCCCTGGGCCAGGCCGACTGAAGGAAGATGAGGGAGGCAGGAGGCTGAGAAACACACCTGAGACTTTGTTGCCTCCTGCCAAGGCTCTCCAGAGAAAAACACAAGACACCTGTGTACATTCTCCAGCCTGCACTTTAGTCCTTAGAATGTCAGTGACTCCAGGGGCTGGTGCTCAAGACTCAGGGAAAGAAGGGAGAGGCAGCCACCGCTGTGTGGGCCCCGTGTGCTTACCGGTGTGCTGATAAACCTTAAGGGCAGCCACAAAAGGGAGAAGCTATGGAGGGCTCCTGAGTGTGGGGATGGGAAGCGCACTGGAGGCCTAAGGAGGGCACTGGTGAGCGTGCAGGAATGGGTGGAGGGCACTGGTGGGCATGCGGGAATGGGTGGAGGGCACTGTCGCCAGCAGTCCCCCTTTCCATCCCTCAGCTGTCATAAAGAATCAATTTAGTTCTGATTGCAATAGTCAGAGGCTACAAGACCCCTAGGCTGAGCTTGTCAGAACCTTTTTCAACAAGTACCCACCGCCGTGGGCTCACTCTAAAGGAGCTCAGTGCTACACCACATACAAATTATAACACAAGGGCTGGAGAGATGGCGCAGAGGTTAATTGCACTGGCTGCTCTTCCAGAGGTCCTGAGTTCAATTCCCAGCAACCACATGGTGGCTCACAACCATCTGTAATGAGATCTGGTGCCCTCTTCTGGTCTGAAGGGAGACATGCAGATGGAACACTGTATTACACGTTTTTAAAAATTACAACACAAGGGTGATGGGGAAGTCCTGTGTATATGTCAATAAAGCACTGTTGGCCAATAGGGAAGCAAGATAGGTGGGACTAGGAGTCCAGGAGGACTCTGGGTAGGAGAAACACAGGGAGTCACGATGTAGCCCGCCAGAGAAGTAAGATGTCTGGAACTTTTCTCCGGTAAGAGAAATACTTAGATTAACAATTATGGGATAAATACTTAAGTCAGAGCTATCCAGTAAGAAACAAGCAAGGCCAACAGCGTCATAATTAATACAGCGTCTTGTGTGTTATTTGGGGACTACAATGCGGCAGAGCCCAGGCGAGTGGTGGTGGTGGTGGGGGACCAAAGCCGGCTAGCAAGGCAAAGGCTTAAGGGCACCGTGTTGTAATTCTGATGCCAGCCCTCAAGCTCAGCAGGCAAGCAGACAGGGAAGGATAAGCAACTCTATAATGACGTGAGGTAGATATGACCAGGCCTTCTGGTATCTTCTGGTTGAGGTAACCAGGGAAGCTGAACATCACCCAAGGGCCTCTTTATCCCCTAAGGAACTCCATTGTCTTGTCAGAAATAACATCCAAGCTATTTATATACGATAGGAGTAACAATACTTAGGTCCTAGCATAACAGCCTCTGACACTGTGGATGAGAAAGTACAGCTAACTTTGATCTGGACTGACTGAAAATATGAAATTGCAGAAAGGTGGCCTGATCCCAGCTGAATGGCAACAAGGGACTAGTCACAGCCAGATGAGCCCTAGGACCTAGTGGTTCATCCCAGCTCTTACACTTCTTAAAACAGAGGGTAACTTCAAACCTATTAAGATCTACTTTCAGATATAAAGAAAAATGTATTAAAAATTTCATTTTATTTAAGAAAAAATGCAGACTGATGAGTAAGCTTATCATTGACTAGCCTGTGAGGAGTCACAGGGAACAAGCCCTACATGCCAGGTGCCTGCCTGGGTTCTCCAAACTGGCCAGAGTCCAGCGTAGGAAACAATTCAGAAAGACCTCTCCTAGAGGCCGGGGAGCCTGGCTGGTTCCGCAGGCCACTGGTATGTGCATGGCCGGTAAACCACGGTCAGGGAAGGTCAAGCTCTCTGGGGCTGACCACAGTGGGATGGAAGGAGCCAGGTCACGGCGCCTGAGTTTCTCATCTCGTTTGTGGATTTCTCCATGGGAAGTGATCTCTCCTCTCTTCTTTCAGCTAGGGTGGGGGTGGGGTGGGGGCAGGAGGGATTTTAGTCTCGTCAAGCTCAACCCACTCCACCATCCGTGGTCTCTACTTCAGAGCTCAACTCTGGAGGCAACTCTTCCATCTCTGGGCAAGAATGTGCTGGAGTCAAGGACTACTTGGAGAGGGTCCAGTCTTTGATGGCTAAGACGGTAGTGTAGTGGCTCGCTACTGAATACGCGCTTGTTGTCCTGACTGTTTTACCTGAAGAGACAGACAGGGGAACTGCTTTAGCATGCCCTTCCCCTCATGCCCATCTGGAACCCCGCCAAGTTCAAGCCCCTCTCCCGCCCTCCACACAGAAATTCAAGGATGCTGTGCATAGCCACTTGGAAGCCCAGCTGATGAGGCAGAGGGACCCGTCTTACCTAGTAGGTCCGGGGACTGCAGCTTTCCTGAGGGGCTGCACCCTGCCTCGAGGGGCACTGGGGGTTGGAAGAGTGGTTCTCTGGGAAACAGGAGCTTGGTGGGGATTAACAAGAGATGAATCAGAGCACAGTTCAGCTTGCCTTCTCCAAAGGAAACTAGATGAAAGTATGTGCCTGCTGAACCCAGTTTTCCAGTCAGCAAGTGGGGAATGACCGTGTCACAGCTGTAGGCAGGTAAGGCCAAGATGGTCCCTGGCAGATGTCCTTCCACCTAATGTTTTTCCCTTTTGTTTTTTGTTTTTTTTTTTGTTTTTTTTTGTTTGTTTTGTTTTTTTAAGACTGGGTCTCTTGGGGGCTGGAGAGATGGCTCAGAGATTAAGAGCACTGGCTGTTCTTCTAGAGGTCCTGAGTTCAATTCCCAGCAACCACATGGTGGCTCACAACCATCCATAATGAGATCTGGTGCCGTCTTTTGGCGTGTAGGCAGACATGCAGGTAGAATGCTGTATACATAATAAATAAAATCTTAAAAACGAGAGAGAGAGAGAGAGAGAGAGAGAGAGAGAGAGAGAGAGATGGTCTCTCTATATAGCTATAGCTGTCTTGGAATTTACTATGTGGACTAGCCTGGCCTTGAACACGAAGAAATCTGTCTGCCTCTACTTCGGTGTGCGTTACCATGCCCAGGTCTAATTATTATTATTTTTGAGACATTGTTTTATATAGCTAAGGCTGACCTTGAACTCCTGATTCTCCAGCCTCCTCTACCTTCCAAGGGAGATTACAGACATAGCCACCACAACTAGCCTGGCCACACATCCATTCTATCTTACCTCTGTGCCCTGCGGCACTTGGGAGCCCCTTCCTAGCTGAGAGAGACTCTGGAGGTAGGGCACTTTTGCCAGGTGGTACACTGCGGTTAGTGAGTGGCATTCTCGTGGTGGGCCTGGGGCGGGCTGAGGGAACTGGTAGTCGACTGGAAGGCTTAGCAGCTGCTCCCTGTAGCCGGGATGAGCACTGAGAGCTGCTAGTTGAGGGTTGTGGAGCTAGGACTGGCCTGACAGGGACTGGCGGGCCTGTGGAGAAGAGAAAAGGCATTTCAGGGTGAGTCCCACCTGTCTCCTTCCCATACCAGCCTCACCCGCATCTTGGCTGCCCGGGTCTCACTGGCTGCTGTCCTTGCACTGGGCCCAGCTTTCCGACGGGGTGGAAGACTTGGTTGTGCAAGAGGAGACAGCACTGGGCTTCTGGGTGCAGGGGACAGATTGCAAGTGGGCGATCCCTGAAACACAGCAAGGAGCACAAAAGGATTAAAGTGGAGACAGCATGCTCTCTGCTGGCTTACGGCGTTAAAGAAAAGAAGTAGGAGGCGGGCGTTGTTTAGAACCAGCGAGGAAGAGACTAGCTGCCAGCAACTAGCTGTGATAGGTGCTTTCTTTCTTTTTTAAAAAGTCATTCTGTATTTATTGTGTATTTAGCATCTGTATTTAGCAACACACATGTGGCGGTCAGAGGACAGCTTGTAGGCGTCAGTTCTCATCATGGAGGTCACAGGGTTTAAACTCATGTTCGTTAGGCTTGGTAGAAGGTGCTGTCACCCACTGAGCCAGCTCACTAACCTGTTACTATCTTTTGAAACAAGGAAGTAATGTGACCCAGGCTGATCTCAAACTCCGCATAGAGCCCTCGAGGATGACTTTGGACTTCTGATCTTCCTGGCTCTACCTCCGGAATCTTGGGATTTCAAGTATGTACTTAGACATTTATGTGTACCACATTCATTTACACGATGCTGGGGCTCAAACCCAGGCCTTTGTTTATGCTAGGCAAACACTACCCACCCGGCTCCATCTCCAACCCAATTTACTTAATCCCAACGATTCCAGGGGTAGAATAACTTTCACCCTCTCAACAGTGAGGGACCACGTCTGTGCCTGCCTTCAGCGAGTGTCTCAGGCAGCTTGTCTAGGACACACATTCTTACCTTTTTTGTGCTGGGGGGCTTCTTTCCAGCTGTCACCCGAACAGCCCTGGCTGACCCCTTTTTGTCACTGCTTCGGAGTCCAGTCAGGCTGCTTGGGGATGGTGTGCTCCAAGAACTCACAGTGGGCAGCAGATCTCGGACAGGGCTGTCCTTGAGGACGAACGTCTCCCTCCGAGGGCTGGGCTTGCCTCTGGACCTCCCAGGGCCTGGGCCTGCACTCTCCCTGTCTTGCAAGGCACACTCCTCTAGCTGAGCTGCCAGGCGGTTGGCTTCATCAAGGATCTCCTCCAGCTTCTCTGGGCTGAGCCGGCCCAGACTGAACCTCACACCCTGGAGAGTGGGAGCTACTGTGTTTGGGTTACTGCGGTGAGCGAGGCCCCGTCGAGGTGGTTTCTCTGGACTCACCAATACCGTTATGTCTTCTTCCTCATGACTGGAAAAACAAATATGGTGCCATGCCACACAAAAGATAGCAGAAGGACAATCCCAAACCCTGCCTTTAGGTAAGGAGATACCTGGTTCTACTGAGGCCCAGCAAGCCTGTAGCAGCTCCTATTTTCTTTTCATTCCCCCCCCCCCCCCCATCTTCTGAGACAAGGTCTCAACTCTGTAGACCAGAATGACCTCAAATTCAAAATCCTCTCTGCTTCCACCTCCTCTGGTCTATCCTGGGAGGGAGGGGGTGGTCTGCACACTGACACATTCCAAGGGCATGCCTCAACATGCCCAGGCATGTTTACCTTTCCTTTACATTAACCCCTAATTTTCGCTCCAGCTTCTCCCTTCTCCTCCCCAGCTTCCGAGTTGTCCCAGAGGCCCAATTTCTCCAGACTGCTGGCATCAGAGCACACTGTACCCTGCTAAATTACCAACCTCGGCTCTAGAGGCCAATAAGTTAACACTAAAGGGTTAAAGCTAAAGATGTATTGTTTGAGAAAAATATTAAGTGAGATAAAGTGCCTGGTACCTGTCAGATGGGGACAGCCCTCCAAAGTCCAAGGTCTCATCCACAATGAATTTGACGTCTGAAGGGATGAGAATAAACGCCAGCTATCAGGCCCTGCAGGCTCTCAGGACCTCATTCCTCCCTCCATGGCCTCCTTACCTTCTTTCAAATCCTCCATGCCCAGCCAGCAGAAGCGAGTCAGCTTAGACCTGAGCAGGAGAGACAACATGCCTACCTCAGGTACCTATCATCCTGTCCTAGGCCCCCATCTAGACTCGGGGTACATTATCTGGGGTGGGGAGGCGTGGTGGTGGTACAACAAGACCCCAGGAATAGCGCGTGCCTCTAAACTAGCCCCTTATTTTCGGGAAAGGTGCAGGGAACTCGAGTTCCAACACCTGATGGACGATCTGCCTCGAGCAGTCTGCGCTCTCCACCTCCCTCCTGGTAATTATCCGGGATTTTCCTCCCCCGCCTCACGCCACCTTTCCACTTCCCGGCACCACATCCCCGCCACACCTCCGGCGCACACTCCGTTTCCACTCCCCATTCCGCCTCACCGTTCACGCAGGATGCTTTTCTTCTACAACCTCTCAGTTCCCGGGAATATGCTCCCGAAGGGCGGAGCTTCGTTCGAATTTCCTAGGCTCCACCCACTCCTGCTACAATCGCTCAGCGATTGGCGAGCCCATGGGGGCGGGGCTGAGGCGGGAGCCGTCGGGAAGTCCGCCGAAGAAGGTTGTCGGGTGGACCTAAGCGCAGTTCCCCAAAAGATTCCATCCGGGGGGGCTTCGGAGGGGCAGCGGGAGGAGCCGCAAGTGCGCGCGCGCGTGCCCGGGAGCGCCTCCTTCTGCAGAACCTGTGAGGAGCGAGCGAACCAGCCAATCAACGTGGGTTTGGAGCCCCGCCTCTTCCCCGCCCCCACCCCCTGCATTCCAGGCTCCAGTAGTGGTTGTTTCTACACATGCTTGGTGAGACCACCAGTAGACTCTCTCTCCAGCCCCGAGACACAAGACTTCTTCACTTAAGTTCAGATATCTGATATTTACTGCTTCAACCCCAAAACGACGTGTATGAGCAGCTATTTAAGAGTTTAAATAAATAATGAATTAATGAAAAACATTATACGATCAGGCACATAGCTTAAGTTTAAGTCTTTGCTAAGAAGGAATTCTGTAAGTGTCAAATTCATAAATAATAATAGTAAAGAAAGGATTTCAGGGCAGATCGTAAGTGCGGAAGGATTACATTTGGCTAGAGATCTTGCTCGTGTGAAGATTGTACTCCTTTGCTATATGTTGGAGATCGCCAGGGCCTGTGGATAGTATAGCAAATAGCAGAGGCTGAGATCTGACTGATCCTTAGGGCACAGTCACTGTGGATATCCCTCCACCTTCTGTCCTAGGCCTGCTTCGGGTGGAAGGAGGCCTCTGCTGTTGGGTACATGTTGTCGTCTGGCTATGATCTGACCTCTCTTCTTCATTCATCAACACACACACACACACACACACACACACACACACACACACGCATGCACATGCACATGCACACATCAACACATCATCTCTGTCTCTTTCCCCTTTGTTTTTTGTTTGTGGTTCTCTGAGACAGGGTCTCATGCTGGCCTTAAATTCACCATGTAGCCGAGGATGATCGTGATGTCCTGATCCTCCTGGCTCTACCTCCCAAGTGTTGGGATTAAAGGCCGGGGCCACTATGCTATAGGACTGTTTCCTGAGCCAACCGCCACTATCTTCAGGAGTTCTGGTGTGCCTACTTGGAGAGATCACCACAGCTGGGCCTGTGGACCTTTTACTTCCCCTCAGAGAAGGAAGAGGTGGGGTCAGAATGCCATGGCACCCTCACCTGACTACAATCCACCCCTTCAACCACTTGTATGCAATTCTGCCCTAATTGCTCGTGGTCTGGGGGAGGGGCTGCAGGCTATAAGTGGGGAGAGGGAAGGGGAGGGCATTTCTTCTAGCAGCCTGGGGGAAGCCATCATCTCTGCTGGACTCAGACTGTCGAGGAGGCTGCTTTAAGGTCATCTGTGCTCCTTCAGCCACCACTCTGTAAGTAAGCCTATTAAGTTCATTGTTCCTCTGGGTACACTCTGGTGGACTCCTTTTGTTTGCCATTGGGACCTTAGGAAAAGGGGTAGACATTGTTCTATGTCTCTCCCAGGGAGGAACTTTAAGCAGCAGCTACCATCCCTGGCTCTCACCTACAATCTCAAACAGGTGTTCCATAAGGACATTAGATTTGCTCATTGTTTTCTCAATTTTCCTAAGGCTGGTAGGTAAGTAGTAACTTTTTAGGTGAGATGATGATTTATGACATAGGGTAGGTACTGTCATGTGGAAGCTTAATTCTCACAAAACTCCAGAGAAGGCCTGGAATAGACAGCCTCCAGTGAAAGGAGATGCCTTTGGTTTGGGGGAGGAAAAAAGCCTTTTGGATTCTTCTTAGCCAATTCATATAACTCTCCTTCTCAAAAATGTGGCCCAGCCAGGCAGTGGTGGCACATGACTTTAATCTCAGCATTTGGGAGGCAGAGGCAGGTGGATCTCAGTGAATTCAAGGTCAGCCTGGTCTACAAAGAAAGTTCCAGGACAGATAGAACTGTTACACAGAGAAACGCTCTCTTGAAAAACAAACAAACAAAAAAAAAAACAAAACAAAACAAACAAAAAAATGTAGTCTCATGACCACCCCCCTTCCCAGAAATATTTTCTCTTTTAAGCCCATATTTCCAACCCTCTGAGTGAAACAGATGAGAGAAAATTGGTAAGTCCTGTAGTCAGATTCCCCAGCTCTGTCTTACCAGATCATGACTTGGGGCTTTGTGAACCTGAACCTTCTCATTTGAAACATGAAGATTAAAAGAGAGACATCATCTCATTCAGTTCCTGATGTAAAAGAAGGCGGTTTCTGCACATGCTCTCACACACACTCTCACCTCCTGACCCTCTTCCTGTTCTTGCTTTGCTCCCTCTAGCTAGTCACTAAGGTTCTTGAGAATCCAGGGTGCCACAGAGATGGAAGGCAGCGTGAGGCACTGGTAGGGTCCTGGGAGCTGATGAGAGCCCCGGCCTGCTGACACTCTCTAGGGCTGACTCTCACTGTTACCCATCAGCAGCGCAGTCTTAGATTAACATGGAGGACAGACTTCTGGAGAGCCTCTCAGAAAGATGCTCACTAGAGCAGGGCCTTAACGCTGAAGGAACCAAGCTGAAGTTCAGTGCTCTACCACGGAGCCACAACTGTCTGTTGTGCAGCACTTGGGTCTCAGTTATCTAGTGTGTAACAGGCTACTTCAGGAAGTTATGGCTTAGGAGCTGGGCACGGCTGTGCGTCTGTCATCCCAGCCCTCCAGAAATCAAAGTAGAAGAACCTTGAATTGAGGATGTTTAAAACAGAATTGTTCGTATCTTTATTTTACGTGTATGTGTAATTGCCTGCATGTATATATGTGTACTGCGTGTGTGTGCTGGTTCCTGCAGAGACCAGAAGAGGGCATTTGACCTCCTGGAACTGAAGTTACAGGTGGTTGTGAGACATCATGAAGGTGCTGGGAACTAAGCCCATGTCCTCTCAAGTTCAGCCAGTGCTCTTAACTGCTGAGCCACCTCTCCAGTCCAGGGTTTGCGGCTCTTGGTGATATGAATACACACAGGAACGGGGACTAGCGTCATCTTTTACAGATTCCTTCACAGAGTATCTTCAGTATGACTTGTTATCGGTATGCAAACAAATAGAAGCGAGAGAGACAGCATCCAAGGGGTTCTGCCTTCAGTTGGTTAGGCAGGGTTGTGTTGTGCTGCCTTATAATAGATGTGCATCCTGTTACACCAGCTTACAAAGAAAGGAAAGCTGTGGGGGAAGATGGCAAGTCATCTTCGTCTTTTCCCAGTACCGCGTGCTGGGTAGAACGGAATTCAGTTCTGTGATAAACGGCCTGGAGTAAATGATCAAGTCAGGCACCTCCATGGACGGCCGGGATGTGGCTCAGTCTGCAGAGTGCTTGCCTGGCTGGCATGAAGTCCTGAGTTCAGTCCCTAAGTCCCACAAACTGGAGTCTTAGGCCTGCATGTAATCCCAGCACTCAGCAAGTGGGGGCACAGTCTCAGAAGTTCAAGGACTTTGTTGGCGTATGTACTGAGTTCAAGGCCAGGGTAGAATATATAAAACCCTGTCTCAAAAAAAGATGTGGGGAGCACCTCTGTAAGAGAGAGTGTGGATATGAAGGAACTGAAGAAAAAGAAGACTCATCTGCGGAAGGTCTGCAACCTTTGTAAGTTTTCCCTATGTAGAAAGGACACTCTCTACATTTCCCTATGCAGAAAAGACTCAGAGGACATTTCAAGACCTGAGATCTATATGTTTATTTTGTTAGGCCAGGCCAGCTATGGCTCCTTGAGAACACAGTCTTGCCAGAGTCATGCTCCCAGGAGGCCCTGCAACGAGAGGGTGTGTTAATAGGCATCACAGCAGACAATCTGAGTACATCCAGGGTGTGCTGAGACCGTCTCTCTTCATTGTCCCTGGGTCCAGTGCTATAAATTCACTGTCCACAATGCTTTGCGTCTGAGAAAGGCTGGGAGACAGAAGAGACCCAAGGATAAGTAAGATCAACACTGACACAACATGGTATTGATAGAGAGGGCAGGGAAGGAGAAGAATGTCTATAAGCCAGCTGGCAGAGAAAGCTCTCCTGAGGAGAGTTTGTGCATTTAATGCAGCCCGTAGGGTTTTCATTTGCTATGTATCATTGATGGGCTTAAATAAATGGCTTGGGGGATCGAATTCATGCTCGGTTTTCTTCAACCAGGAGCTGAAAGTCAGGGGGACTGTTGGGAGCTAGGTCTCTGTCATTCTCTCTCTTTTTCCTTACCCGTCAGTTTATGCACACATTTCCCCTGTAGATGATGGGGAATTTGAAGCAGCTGCCACATTCTAGATAATGAACCAAGCGGCCCTTTGCCAGGGATGAGTGACTCGGATACCACATACCCAAATGTTAAATTATTGTTGACATTTAACAAAAATGATTTTCTTCTGTTGAACAGGAAGAAATGCATAAAGTTGAAAAGAATATGAACAAGCTACTTTGTTTCTTACCCTGCTTATGACAGTGAGGCAGGAACATCTAACAGAAGTGTCCCTACCTACAGTGTGGGTCTGTGCTGGTGGACACTGGTTTCTTGTTCTCTTGCAGTCCCCACTCAGCTCTTCCCACAGAACCCCCTGAACAGGTAGAAGCTCGTATTCTCCAAGGATTGTTAGGTTTTATCCCTATCATTGTTCTGAGTAGAAATGCACAGGATATAACAAACGTAAACTTTATCTATAGAGCTGAGTGTTAGAATTTAAAAAAAAATAAAGTCACCAGGGGCACATGGTTGAGAGGCTCATATCCATCCCAAACTTAACAGCATAAGCCATGGAGACATCATTTCCCTCCTTCCTTACCTTCCTTGAATTTCCTGTCTTCTTAGGGCAGCCTAATGAGGAGCTACAAAAATGTAGACATTTTTTCAACATTAACATTGCAGAAATCTCTGG